AAATCTTGGCCAAAGTTAAAAAATCAAATTTTTCAGGTGAAAATTTCCGGAGGTCATGTGATATTCCGTAAATCGACGCCTAATTAAATTTCCTGATGCTGGACTTGGAATAATAATTAATCTGAATAATTGAAGATAATTTTCAAAGTTGATGAAATTAAAAGATAATTAATGGATAAATATTAATACTAAAGGTAATGATGAACTTGAAAAGATATTGGAATAAATTGGATGAAAGGTCTGATTCTCTTTCTAAAATAACTGAATCAGTGGTGCTTTCTAAAGTGATGAAACAACAGTCTTACCTTTGGAAAAGGACTATAAACTTCTTAAAAGAATTGTTAAGGTCACTCTACTAGGAAGTTCTTGAAGAAACCAAGGACCACTGGTGATAACGACAACGAAGAGGATAAAAAAATATAGTAACAACAGTACATAATCTTGTCTAATTGATAGGCTTTAGAAATATAGATGACACAAATATTCTTTCTGGTGATGATGTGACAAAAGTTTTCAAATAATCACTAGAGAAAATTATTAAAATTTGAGAAGATATATTATTGCTTTTTGGTTTTAAGACTAGAGCTAAAGGAGTATCAGATCTCAATGCTACAATAAAATTTATTAATGCAATACTGAATAATTGGTATAGTTATATTGTCAAGAGTAGATAAAAAAAAGAAGGACTGAAAGATTAATAAGTATAAAAAGTACTTATTGAATTCATCGTGTGTCAGATAATGGAGCTAATTTTGAAACTCAAGAAAGAATAATAGTTATAAAGTTGAATGCTCCTAATTATTACCCTACAAATTTAATTATTCTACCATATAAATCAAAATTGATTAATGAAACTTAGGATCTTTTTGATTCTATACCTATTACTAATAATATTACTTCAGAATATATAGAATATGAAGTTTTTAACTTATCTAATAATGTGATTAATAAAAAAGCTTTATCTTTAGAAATGTCAGCTCAAGATTAATTAATCGATTCAAATAAAATAAGTGAATATAGAGAGAACTATACTCAAGATATATGTTATATCAATATTACTATTGATGAATTAAGAGAAAAATATCTAAATTCCTAATCACTTTATATCTGTTTTTAGTAATTTCTTTATCTTCAGAATTTCTTATTAAAAACAAATCTGATATAGACACCTTTATCTTTCTTTTACAACAAAAATTTTAAATGTCTCAAGAAAAGTTGAAATAATGAGATTCAAGATTACTTTTAAAATGTGAAATAATTATAATTACTGAAAAAAAAAATATGAGAGTATGAGTGAGATAGATTTCTTGGATTACAAGTAGAAGTTTGAGACTTAATTAGATATTTTCACTATTCCACATAAAAAAGAGTTGAAAAAGAAATCTTTAGTAATTATTGAATATGTATAATTGTTATAAATCTTTCAACAAAGTAAGTATAAAATATCAAAATAATATTATCTAGTTAAGTAGTAATTTCTGAAGAGAGAGATTGTTACATTTAACTAGTTATTTATCTCAAATAGGAAGTTTTTGTCATCTCTTACAATAAGTACAAGAAAAAATTTAAATAAAAAATTAATACTTCAATATTTAGATCATATAAAGAGATTTTTATGTTATCTAATTTAAGATGATAGCTTGTTATTAGATATTCTATACAAAAAGGATTTTTGGATCATAATAGGTAAGTTATTGTCATCTGATTCACATGTCTACCTATCAGATTGAAATGAAATTTTAGTAATAATAAGTGTTTTCAGTATATGGATTAAGGTATGTAATCAATAACTATTTTTGTGTTACACATTTTTGATTAAGATATAGTTTTGGATAAGTAATAGGTTAAAATAATTGTATTGTAAAATGTAATGTATATGTGATATGTTTCGAATAGTACTAATAGAAACAACTTATACTGAAAAATCTTGAATTATCAAAGTAAATTATTATAAGAAAGTTATACTATTGCTCTTTGATGAGTCAAATATAATATATTTTTTGGGCTACCAAAGTAAAACTATACTATGCACAGAAATTACACTTTGATGGGTCAAATATGATATACCTCCTAATTATATATTGATGAATTATTAAAGATTTTTCAGTATAAATACTATTTCAAATAAAAAAGAGTAAAATGTAAGTGTTCTAAAATAGAATGTACATATAATATATAAAATTATGCTTTAATGGAATATCAAAGATTTTTCGATATGAGTAATATTTTGAACAAAAAAGTGAACTACCAAGGAATAATTATTATAGATAAAAGATATATAAAATTGTATTTTGATGGGTTAGCAAATAAGTATTATTTTAAGTAAAAAAAGTAAGATGTCAAGATAAAATTATTACAAATATATATATATATAATAAAATTATACTTTGGTGGGTCACCGAGTAAGGATAACAATTCGGCACTACATATCTCATTCTTGGATAATATTTGAATAAATTATACAAAACTAACAACTGTTAACAATTTGATACTATATGTCTCATCCTGAATATATTACACAAAGTCAAGTCACAGTTGCTAATTTGATACTACATGCCTCAACTCTGATCCTCATAGAGGAATTAATTAGAAAGCTAAAGCACTATATATCAAGTTCGGGCATAGCCCTCACATCAGGTTCACAAATGATGATACATGACTAAATGTATTGTCAGATATATTTTTTTTTACCCATGTGAGTTGACAACAGAAATTGGTCTCAATTATCAAACTGGCATATGATATGTTGCACGTGAATAATGACAAAAATTGGTTACAATTGTCAAGCCATGGCACATTGTGCCATGATGGCTCTTGAATGATAATACAAATATGATCTGCATATCACTCAAATCATTAAAAGGAAGCAAATATCAAACATATTAGAGGTCAAAATGGGTAGCTATAAAATAAGTAGGTAACAATATATCCATAAGTAGATAACAAAATAACATAAGTATAAGACAGTATATATATATTGTCTTATACTGGATTCAATCTGGATATTATCAAATCTGATCTGATCTGACTTTGTGAAACCCTACTTTGATATTAAAATTTAGATCAAGAACCATGGAGAGCTCATATTTATTTGGATAATTTATGACTACATGATATTTTAAAATTGATAATATGGATTCACTAAGAAAAAAAATACATAAACTATATAAAGTCAACTCTCTATAAATGTATCCTTGGAACCTGCATTTATAGTGAGGGTGCATTTAGAGAAGGAATGCTATAGAAGGTGCATTGATAGAGAGTTGGCAGTCATAGTTCTTTTTTCGACATAAGAATGGAAGAGAGAGCAATGTCTAGTAGGTGAAAAAAGAACTCTTGGTCAGAAAGTAAATGTATGTGATGCGGACGAGAAAATCGAGTGAAGACATTTCCAGTAAACAGGTTACAGCGAATTAGGATGATCGCCCCAAATTTAACCAAAACAGAAATGATTTATTAATTATTATTAATTATTTCATATCCATCTAGTCATCTAGTCGATAATTATAATAATATAATACAAGTATGTCATAAAAAGATTTCGAATTTATGAAATATTCAAGCTTCATTTTCCAGAGTATCATTTTGTGAGGTGTTCATAATAGTCATTATTGTCATTATTTTATTATTATTCTGATGGCCAAACGCTTACTACGAAATCTCTTTAAAGCATATATTAACAACAGTGTTAAAACTAAAAATGCCAAAGTAAGAAATAAGCCATTTCCTAAAACTCCAAAATCATCTATTTCTAGACTTCTTTTAGATAATAGTAATAACAAAATAAAAAAAAAAGAATTGATAAAAGCCGAATTCAAAAAAATGCCTAGATGCAAGAATTCATATTATGCTGTTCGAGTCGGTCACAGACCCGGTGTTTATAATACTTGGTATTTTATATAAATATATATATGTATATATGTACACACATATATTTGTTATTCAATTAAACATGGAATTTTATGGGTTTTCAGGGACGAATGTAAATTGCAAGTAAGCAATTTTCCTAGGTGCAAATTTAAGAAGTTTGCTAATATAAAAGACGCACAAGAATTTGTTTACGGAAATATTGAACCAAGTAATCATTTGATTATATTGGTTTTCTTATATTATTTAATTTAATTATTTATTTTTTTTACCTTTCTCACCTTTCTTTCTTTCTTTCTTACTTTTCTTACATTTTAAAACTGGAAAAGTATCAAATGATTCACCACTACCGTCATCATCAATGTTAGATACGTTCAAACCAAAAAAGAAAGATGTGAAAAATGTGATGGAATCATCATTGTCACCTATTACAAAAGATGATGATGAAACTTCAGTAAATATTTTATAAAAATTAATAATTTAATTTCAATTCAATCCGATTTAATTCAATTTTATTAATGATCTATTAATTTTATAAAATCTTTGGAGGATTCCGACGTTACGAAACTCATGGTATGGACTGATGGATGTTCATTAAATAATGGTCAAAGTGGAGCACGAGCTGGTATAGGCGTATTTTGGAGTGATAATAATCCCAGGTAAAAAATTTTATTTAATTTTATATAATAATTTATAAGAACATTTTAAAATAATATTTTTTATAATAACATATTTTATAATTATATTATATTTTTATGTAGAAATCTTTCTGAAAGATTACCTGGACCTAGACAAACAAATAATCGGGCGGAAATTATGGTATAATATTAGATATATTATTTTCTCTGGATATTATTATAAATCTTTGCATACAATGAAAATAATAATAACAATTATAATAATATAATAATATATTCAGGCTATTATTCGTGCATTGGAAACATGTCCAAACGATAATATTACACTTGAAGTCAAGACTGATAGTAAATATGTAATGAAAGGTAAATACATGGAGAAGAATAATGTCCAAAAAGAATTTCAAGAATGATTCTAATAATATTTTATCAAATATTTAATAATTTTGGATTATTTATTATTATTATTATTATTTAGCTTATCAGTCTTGGATACCAAATTGGGAAAAAAACGGTTGGAAGAATTATGCTAAAAAGGATGTGGAAAATAAAGATCTATTTACTCGTATGATAAGATTAATTAGAGCGAGACCTGGCAATGTTTTGATTGTAAAATTAATTATATTAATTTAATTTATTTATATATTTTTATATATATATATATTTTAATTACATTAATTACATTTATATTTCTCATATAGTCATACGTTCCGGGACATAAAGGTATAGTCGGTAATGAAGAAGCAGATCAATTAGCAAATCTGGGAGCATTGAAAGATGAAATCATTACTGATGAATATAATAACAACAATAATAATACATCACAATTGATGGATTTTGAGGTTACTGATGATGATTTATTTTCACCTGAAGAATTGGCTGAAATTGCTAAAGAAATTGCTCAAAATCAAAGAAATTAAACTCAATAATGATAATTTTTAGTAATCTTCATGTAATTTTTGCATATATACCTTATATATCTATATTTACACTTCATATTCTTCTAATTCTATTAATCCAATATTTTGTTAATTTATCTAACGCAATTTAGAACATGGTATAGATCAACGATGATTGGGTTGGGTAGGGGAGGTGATTGATTTTCTTTACCATGGGATGTCACAAAATGGATTACCTGACGGTCGACCGTTCCAAATTCATGCTAAATAAAAGAATACTTTCAAATCATTCAAATTTTATGTTAAAAAGGTACTGAGTCATATAACATACAATTGTATACGGTTTTTTTAATGTACTAGGTTGTTAGATTGTTTTTTACAGTAATGTCAAGCCTATTATTAAAGAATAAAAATTATTCAGACAGATAATTGAACAAGAATTGAATCCTCTTATGGTCATTACTGATGGAATCATAGCTAGTGCAATAGGTTTTTCTATTTTAATCACAATCGCATAATTGCATCATGAACTCACCAGTTTAAAGCCACTTTATTTTTGACTACAAGATTTGGCCAGGATTGGTTCTAAGAATAATGCAAAGTCATTTTCAAATACCAGAAATTTAAAAGTGATTTTATCAGAAAATAAAAACAAATCAATTATTCATACCCATGTGATCTAGCCGAAGTTAGATATCAATATAAAATTTTTATATTACGATCACATGCGTGAAATTGCTCTATGTCACATGTAATAGTCACTTTAAAAATAAACGTTATATATTATGTTTATTATATTGTCATTATAAAATTTATTGAATATTTATATAAGAAAAAGTACATTTTTTTTTTTAAAAAAAAAGAAAAAAATGTCACTTATCGAATCTAAAGAACAGGTTTCAGTACCTAATGATTACACCATTATAAGGTTGAAGCGTAAACGTACTGAAGAACCTTTAGACGCGCTTGGTATTTTATGCATTTATTTTTATTTATTTAATTATTTGGTCGATAACCAAACTAACTTTATTTTACGAAATCTTTTTTTTCAGTGGTTCAACAACTTTTTGGAATTGGAACTAATCATAATCATAAAAAGAAAAAACCAAAACGTAAGGGTAGTCTTTTAGTTAATAACAAATTGGGAAAAGACGAAGGTATTATATATGAATCGATATTTTTTGATGAATAATTATTTGGGGATATTTATGATTAAATATCCTAAAATTTGGAAATTTTTGAAATTTACGAAATGATATTTATTCAAAAAAATTCTTTTATCATTGATGTTATGATTATGATATTAATAATGATGATAGTTCTTGAAAATGAAGAACAGCAAGAAACATCTCTTCCATTTATATTTCGATTCGCCGAAACAGTCGATGAAATTAGTTTTATTGATTCAACCAAATCACAACAATTAAAAGTATGCGGACGACTTGAATCAATATATATATAGAAAGAGAGAGAGAGAGAGATCTAATTTTGTGTGTATATAATGTATATGCAAAATAATTAAAATCAGCAATTGAAAAAAATTTTAGGATCGGATAGCGAAATTGATTAATCGCAAGGACTCTATTAAACGAAAAGAACCTGACATTAAACATAATCGTGAAAAGAAAATTTCCATGTTTAAAGAGAATGTACGAAAAGAAAGATATAAGGTAATAGATAAAAATCGACAAAAAAGTAGGGCTCAATTATTATTCAGGTTAGTTGATTAATTGATTAATTGATTTTACACTTTATTTTTTTTTTTTTCGATTATTAGATTTTTTATAAACTTTTTTGTATAAATTTTCAGTGGTGAAACTGAAGAAGAGGAAGAAGTTGCTGATGAATTATTTAAAATGTATGATGCTGTTAAAGAGGATGAAACGACAATTAAACCTAAGTAATATAATTTTATTATTATAAGAATTATAATTTATGTAAATTTATATGTAAATTCATAATTTTCAACTTTATATATTGGAACTTAAATAGTGTAATCTGGGAAAATGATCAAGATTCCGATATTATGTGTAATTTCATTCCTATGATTAAAGAATATCTTACCCGTGAGTTTTAATAATAATAATAATAATAATAATAATAATAATTATTATTATTATTATTATTATTATTATTATTATTATTATTATTATTATTATTATTACTATTATTATTATTATTATTATTATTATATTTATTTATTTATATTTATTTATTTATTTATTAATAAATTATTTTTTAGTTCAAGATAAAATTGATAACGAACACAAGGCTGATAACAACAACAACCAAACAACAGACAGTGATGATGAATATGTTTATGATGTTTATTATCGTGATGATTCAATGATTTTGGATGATGATAATAAACTTCGTAACATTTCTGCTCTGTACGACACATTGATTCGATTCTCACCAAGATTGAAAGATTACTTTAGATTATTTGAAAAGATGATTACTAATCATTATTACGTTTCTTTTTCTTCTTCTTCTTGACAGAACTTGGTTTGATGAAAATGAAATTTTCTCGAATGAATTATCTTCCCAAGAAGAATATGTATATTCTGATGAAGAAGATTCAAATGGTTAGTTTGATAATATAATATAATATATAATCTAATATAATCTAATCTAATATATACGATTCTAATTGTTTTTTCTTATAGCGGAAGATTATTATAAACATGATTATCCCGATGAAGAAATACTTTGGAGTGAGCAGGGTATGCACATATCACATACACGCGTACATAAGAAGAAAAGAACAATTAATTAATTATTATTTATTTTTTTTTGCCCAGATGGAAATTCCTCGGATGATGATTATTTTTTGAAAGATTAATAATAAAAGATTTATTAATTATGGGTATGAAAAGAAATCATTCTTTAATATATTTTCTTTTTTTTTTTGCATTTTATTTATTTTACTTGATCCTAATAATTTAGTATATATTAGATATATTAACAATAAGATTTCTTTTTATCAGCAATTATATATTTATATATTTATATATTTATATATTTATATATTTAAATATAATATATATATATATATATAATATATATATATATATATAAAAAGTAATAATCTAATTAATAAAAATTTTATTCCTTAGGTTTATCAAAAATTAATATTCTGAAATTAATATATTTTATATCATGTAATAAATTATTTCTTTTTTATTTCAAGTAATTATATTTTGTTCTTTTTTTTTTCTTTTTTTTTTCTAATTTTGTAGGAAATTATAACTATTGGTATCAGAATGACTTCCATAAATAGGACACAAGTTTGTATTCGCATATTTATAAAAAATATACACTAATGAAAATCAATAAAAGCATGTTTCTCTCCTTAATGTGTATGGATTAAACCCATTTTAAATTCCTGATTTTTATCTCTGTCCTAAACTTCTAAACTATCCTAACCTTTTAAATAAAGCTCCTATTGAGTCAAGTCAAGTTGAACTTTGTGAGATTTGGCTCAACATTTAAACTTGGTTCAAAGTCTTAAATTTAAAGTTAGACAATGCATACCATGTGAAATTTGGAAATATACTTTACAATTATTATGTCAATAACAACAATTACATCAGATTTTGCAGTGTTACTTAATAATACATAGTAAATATTTTGAATTACGATAAGTATAATTGAGAAATGACATATATATAAACATTCAAAGAACAATAAGCTCACTTAAAAACAATTTTACCAGTTTAAAGCTAAGGGTTCGAAAGGTTTGAAAGAAGAAAAGAAATCTGCTAAAAGGATATTGAATAAATTTAAGGTGAGGTTTACTTAAAAAGTGACGTAATCAATTAAGACAGGACATATTTAATCGAAACTCCTAGGATTAGGAAATCATCCTAATATTTAAAGTCAATTATACTAAGTAACCTCAAAGATAAGAATTAATTGCATCTTCTGTAAAAACCGCAGGCTTATTAAAATTGAGCAGCTAATCATCATTTGAAATTTTTTAGTCTGTACGAACTTTAACCGCTAATAGTTCTCACAATTTTAGTGATATAGGTCTGAGCTTTTTACAAGAGATGCATATTGTTCTCACCTTTGAGGTTACTTAATATTATATTCAATATTTACTTATATAATAAAAAGTTTTATATGTAGTAACCATTGATAATTATTTCCGATTTATATAAACTTGATAATTAATTGCAATTCTGAACTCATGATTATAATCGCGATTTTGAACTCACAATTATAATCACAAATTTGAACTTACGATTTTAAACTTGCTATTATAATCGTGATTCTGGATTTGTGATTATAATTGTGATTTTAATCACGATTTAATTGACGATTATTGTTAATCGTTTATCAAATTTCAAGTCAATTATATAATCGAGTCACGATTAATTGCGGGATTTCTATCGCTAGCAACTCCTGTAAATAATTATGACAAGTATTTTTAACAGGGAGCATGGGGAACTATGGTTCCAGCTTATGTATAGATTACGGTTTTACCCTGTTATAACTGGGATTGAAGCAAACCATTAGACTACAGTTCTTAAGTGACGATGGATTACAATTCCACAATTGTGACTTTCTTAATTTGATTTTGTTTGTTTTTTTTTTATAAAAACTGGTTAACTAAAATTAATTCCTTTTAGGAGTTCAGAAGCTAATGGATGTATTCATGATTTTTTGAATTAACACAATGGCTGAGAGACAAGTGAGTTTAAAAGAGTCAAAGGTTAATGCAAAATTTTATGGATTAAAGGTAATAAAGAATACTTTTCTTTAACCTTTATCAATAAAATTCAGACTATTTCACATTTATTTTTATTTCAAATAACGGTTAACAATCATTACTGTCACAACAAAACAAGTGACAGTGATAAAGTCACACATACACCTAAATAATTTGATATTACTATATATCAAAAAAAAATTTTAATCTTAGACGACACAAATATATATTATCTTGTCTCTCGAGTTACTTAGTAACGTTTAAATGTAGTATGCTATTGTTTGAATAGTCTTTGTTCATATGATCATCCTATTATTATTCAATTGAATCTACTGAGATATCGTTATAAAAGTTATTTTTGAAATGTATTGTCCCGTTCAGCTAACGTAATTAAATGCTGAATTATATAAACACAAATTTTTTTAATATACATTTTTCCTTAATAATTTTTGAATAAAGTGATTTAATTTCATATAGAAACATCTTTCCTCTCTTAATGGAATCTCTTTTAAATATACACAACGTGGTAAAATAATATTATTGTTATTGGAAATATTTGTATTAATAAGATATTTTGACAAATATATTTTAGATCATCAGATAATGTTTTTATATATGATCTTAATGAAACTATTAATAAAAATTAAACTTGAATAACTGTCTAATCTTCAGATAATAACATTTAATGGCTTAGAAAATTCATTAGCAAGATATAATAGAATTAAAACATCATAATATCTTCAAGAAATCAGATATTAAGTATATCAAATACATAATATCCTTTTAATTATTGTTTTATAAATAGTTTAGTTGTTAATTATCTCAGCAGATTAAATGTATTGTTTACTAAATTCTGAATTAAATTAAAAGTTTCTTTTATTGTGTTATGAAATATATCTTTATTGCTGAATTCAATGAATAATTTATCCTGATGTCACAGAAAATTTCTTTTATCAAGATAAATAAAAACAAGTAATTGTCAGATGATTATTTATTTGAGATATTATTATTATTATTCCTTAAACAGTAGTGACGTCACAAGTTACTAACCTTCGAAAAAACAGAATCTAGACACCTATTTAGATTATTGGTCGCGGACACCTCTGAATCTGAAAAGACGAGCATAGTAGTACATCTGCTCCTAGGAAAAAATATCCAAAAATATATTCACGGATGTCTGGTAAAAAACATATGAACCGATTTGGCTTCACTAAAATTCATATGTGATAATCTGATCATAATGTGATACAAAAAGGATAAATTATAAACATAGAAATAATAAAATAATACCTCATCGCGCCTCCTTTTTTTACCTTCTCTTGATAATTTTGTTTTTTATCAGAATGCATTTATAGTACATCAGGAAATTTTTGAGGACAAAATATATCCAGATATAAGGCGAATAAATCCAGATAAATTTATAATATGCGGATATATGCGGATATATGCGCGGGTGGTCATATATATCAGGGTTTATAAATTACAAAACAGAAATAATTCATCATCGTTACAACGTACTTAAAAAAAACCCTGTACAACTTTACCAATATTTGTTTTCTAGTATAAATAAAGTATCTATTTCTGAGTTGACCTGGGAGGACTCTTTGACTAGTCAAGTAATCAGTGACGATTCAGATTTGGTATTGAATTTATCTATACAATTAAGAGACTCTTTTATGGTAAATATTTTTTATAAAATTGATGAGATTCATATGCTAATATATCATATTATTAGAAACCAGTATGACAAATGGTACTTCCATTTCTTCCACCTATTATACAAGAAAAATGTAATAAATTTGTAGAAAACTTCATTGGAAGAGGTATAGACAATTTATCACAAAAGTTAGTACATAATAGAAAGTGGAAAGAAATAAATGAGGAGCTTGCAGAGATTACATCAAGAAATCAAACATTTGATCTTGAGTTTGCAAAATTGCAAAGTGAAGGCACTTATATAAATAATGTAATATTACCAGTTATATGGGCTATATTAAAATGTCTTCCTCTAGATAAATCTACATTTGTCAGTAGTTCCAAACATCAAAGCAGTATTAGTGCCAATAGAAAAGATGATGGGCAATTGGGAAGATAACTGGATATAATGTTTGTAATGAAGCATGGTAAAAAAAATTATAAACTTTTATATGCCAAATGTTCATGTTTGACTTGTACAACATGAAAGGAAAAGAATGATGAAGTAAAGTTGTAATGTGAAACTAATGATGATATGTATTGAACTTGTAAGAGTTATAAGCCTGATAAGGATGAATTTGGTATTATTAGTGTACAAGTGGCAGGAAAGAAATTATGTCTAAGTATTCTTATTAGAGATATGAGTGAGGTGTATCATTATTATTATCTCCATGAATCAGAAATATCCCTTTAACAATCAACTCCTTCTGTCATTACAAAATTTGTAGAGACCTTGCTAATATTACAAAATATTTTAATCATCAATATGACCTTACTCCATAATGCATCTTTACCTAAATCAGGTAGACTTGTAGAAGATAGCTCAACTGTTGATTCTGACAATTAGTTTTTTATTTCTGGCATGGGCCTATCTTTGATTGATATCCTGTATTTTTATCACCCTGTGTATCATGTGTTATTTTTTGTGTAATGTATAACTAGTAATTTTCCAAATAATTTTCTTGGCACATGCACATTTGACATACTCTATTACATGTTGATAGTTGGTCCTTACTCAAGCTTTATCCACTATGCTCTTGACAAAAAGGATTGGTGGTGAATTTAATGTATTTTATTTTTGTTACAATTAACATGATTTTACACATCATATTTTTTCATGTGATTAACCTTGTGAATATATCTGTATTTTGTATAAAATTATGGAAGAACATGAAGTCAGATTTATGAAACTAGAGCAAAGCGATAAAGAAAAAACTGACCTTATTGCTAAACTAGAACATGATATTGAGGAAATTAGAAAACAAACTCAAGTCATTGCTAACTTACAGAATAAATCTAAGAAAAATCGTAAATTTCAGGAGAGATGCATTTTAATAACCCAGATACTGCTTGGCGAGGAACCTGTGGTTGAATATCAGCCCTCTTTCATGCAAGGATTAGAATTTGGTGCCTTCTTTCAAAAATACCAAATTGCATTAGAAGTACAAGGGGCTCAACATCGGCTTCATCACACTAGCTGGTATAAAGATGTCAAAAAACTTGAGGATGTTGTTAATCGTGATCGGTTAAAAAGATGCATATGTCAAGATAATGGAATTTTTATTCTCGAGGTATGGTATGACGAAAAACCTGAGGATGTTGTTAATCGTGATTGGTTAAAAAGATGCATATGTCAAGATAATGGAATTTTTCTTCTCGACGAAAAACCTGAAATTGTTATTCCGGAAAGGATACAAAAAATTAAGGGTTTCGTTAATCAAACGTTTAGAACTTTCGACCTATAATAATAATTTATAATACATATCTAAATTGCGGATAACTTTAATACAACTTATAATACATTTTTTTTTGCTAATTTATATAAAAATAAATGTATATTTATGGAACACGAGTTACTAGGCTCGTGTAACAGGCGATCAATGTAATATGTACAAATATATAAAGTGCCTTGAAGCACTAAATATTATTACTGATTTACTTATTTCAAAAGATATTGACGAATTTTGGTGCCATAATAGCATGAATAAAAAGTTTTCCAATGTATTAGTATTAAGTGCATTTCAATGTATCAGAGAAGACATATCGCTTCCTTTTTGAGGGTGGCGTAAATTTAGTCTCAGAAGTTCTTGATTTGAAAGCTTCATTTGGTAGTTTTGGTAATAATGTTTTTAATTTATAATTGCATTTGTTGGTTCCCTGTTCAATATTGTTTCGATCCACAGCCCATCTTCACAAATGGTTTCTCTCAGGTAAATTACTAGTTTTAAGACATTTTCGATGTTTTTCTCTATATCGTCCATTATTAAATTATATGATAGTATTTTGTCATTATTGGTATAAACAAATGTTGATTCTTCTTGATTAAAGGCGGGTGTAATTGTATTAAAACTTATTCGAGTATCATTCACCAAACCTATATGGATACGAGTTCTATTAACTTCTTCCTCCGATAAATTATGCGCTAAAGCTAATATACGATTAAGTTCGTACACTGCTTCTGACACAACTACTATATTATCTTTATGGATTTCAAAACCATCTCTTTCAAACTCGACTATGAAAAAAGGAAATTGCAAATTGTTGTGATTTGTGAATATAACAGCAAAATCTGATCGGGCAGAACCTCGACCACCATTTCCTGAAATTAAATGGTGCAGTTCCCAAACAGGAACATATTTCATTTTATTGAGTGTGAAAACATTAGAGAATATTTTTGTCCATAACTCTGCCTTTATGTGATTTTCAGAGGGGGAACTCCCAAGACCACGGCATGGTGTTGGTGTATACAAAATTATGCTAGAAACAACGGATACAACTGTCAGAGCATCTATATCGAAATATTTATCATCTAATTTCTGACAAAAAAATTGCATAATTGATGTGATAGGCGTCGACATCCAGCTATGATCACTGTCTTTGATTCTATTACTCATAACCAAATTTTGAAGTGATTGTTCCGCCAGATGAAGCTGATTGTTTGAGTGCTGTTTCATACACTAGAAACGAGCCTTAAACCAAAACTTGGTTTTGAAACAAAGTGTCGCTGTGGGATTTTGGTCCAACCTACGCTATTAAACATTTCTTGGTCAACTACATGCCATCTTAATATGTTAATAATGTGACGAGCACGCTGTGATTCTTCTTCAACTGGATGATACTGTAATTTAGAAAGTAAAGTGCAATATTCTTTTAATAATTAGAAATTCCAACCTTTTTTGTTCAACATCTATAACGTTTTCATAATTTAATTTTTCTAACTCAAGAGACCAGAAATTAATAATCTGAGGCGATTTTTTCTCATCCTGTAAAAAAAGAGGGTGTGAGTACGGCCAAAAACCTTTTACTAAGTTAATGAAAACATGGTTTAACACGACATTTGCTATAGTCCTCTATGCATCTTGACTTCAGGGAAGTGAAAATATTAAGCTTGAAAAGCCCCATCAGAGGAGAACACAAATTGTCTGCATATTCAACACTGAATAATACATTCATTGACAAGTACGCAACCTTTCCCATAACAAGTACGCAACCTGTTACAGTAGCCAATGATGTGTCATTCCATGAGAACAATACCGCAGGCACGACATTCGTTATGGTCCTCAAGGCATCTTGACTTCAAGGAAGTGAAGATATTAAGCTTAAAAAACCCCCAACAGAGGAGAACACAAATTATCCGCATATTCAACACTGAATAATACGCTCATTGGCAAGTACGCAACCTTTCCCATAACAAGTACGCAACCTGTTACAGTAGCCAATGATGTGCCTTTGGTTTGCTTTCAAAACCCTTCATAAAATGTTTTTAACACGTACCTTTACGTTATTTAATGCAAGAGTTGCAGTTTTGTACCAATTAGTTCCCTGATTATAATTTGATATTATTGTTTCTAAATCTTTCTTATATCGTAAATATTCTTGGTCTTGAGAAAGACATGCAGTAGCAGTTTTTTTTCTATGCACTAAAAAACTAAGTAAAGTAGGTTCTGAAACAGTTTCCCAGTATTAAGTAGAAAGTTAGCATTAATGTATATGGCAATGTATCAGGTATAGATTTCATGAGTAAATTACCAAAGATCTTTGCACTCTTTTTTAAGTTTCATACAGTATATGATTAAATGGAAAAATTTTTTTATTGATAATAATAGTTTCTTGCAACAATAAACTAACAAGCATACGGAAAGTCTAGATTTTGATCTACACGTTACACAATTATTTATACGCGTTTTACAATTAAATAATGATTGCTCATATGACAGTCAGAGATTATACCCGATTAGGATTACCGATGATCGCACCTTATTAAGTAAGGAACGCCGATTAGATTATTCTAGATAATTTCAAACGCGTCAAACATTTAAGTAACCTTGACTTAATCAATGACACATAATATTTAATTTAATTACAAATTTTCTAAACAATCTTAATTATTAATTTCATTATCTAAATTGAATAAACATTTTATTTCTTGTAAAATACCTAATAATTCGTCTCACTTTTTTGACCTAAATCCTGAGTGAAAATAATATAATTATATTATTCTACTTAGTTTAGTTTATTTTCACCTAGGCATGACAATGGGATCACATGTATGTTGTCACTCAAATGATGATAAATTTACATTCATGTCATCAGATTTGAGTACCTATGATATATAATAAAATATAATGATCAATTTATATTTGTATTGTTATTTGGTCATATATTGAATTGATATTTGTAACTAATTCTGTTGTCAAACCATTTGTGATATATTTTTTATTGGATTGACGTTCTGGCAGATCTCTGTTGTCAAGTCATATGTAATATATTGTGTATCGAGTTAGTGATCATAATTGCTTTTAAAATCTAAGGTGTTGTCACCAGTAGTTCCTGTTTCTCTTGAGAATAAACTAGTAGAGTTACTTAATAATTCTTTTAAAGAATTTATAATCCTTTTCCAAAGGTAAGACTGTTGTTCAGTTGTTTTAGAAGGTACCACTGATTCAATTATTTTAGAAAAGGAATCAGACTTTTCATCCAATTTATTTCAATATCTTTTTAAGTTCGTCATCATTTTTAATATTAATATCTATCTATTAATCATCTTTCAATTTTATCAACTTTAAATATTTGCTTCAATTATTCAATACAAATATTATTCCAAATTCAAGATTTATAATAATAGTTTATAATTAATTTCATTAACTCCAGAATAATAATATTATACAATTATACAATCAAGTATTTAATTCCATAATATCCATTATTCCTTTGTTAACTATATATTTTATTATTTAATAAGACTTTTATTTAATATTTCTAATATTTATTATTTTATTAATTCAATTGCAGAATAATTTTTACAAGTATTTATTTTGAAGTTACAAATTATAAAATTAAATTTATTAATTTCAAATAAGTTACAAATTATTAAAATTCAAAATTATATAATTGTAAACTAAAGAGGAGCAAGGTAATTTCAGTCTCTTTTTATATCTAAATCTAATGATCTTCATTATTGTGCCATTACTGTACCTATTGTATCTTACTGTACACTACTACTATTGGTTACTATTCTTTTATATTATTTACTAAATATATCTAATACTAATTAATACTATATGTTAATAGTTATTATTAAATAATGTTAAGTGATGATAATTAATGTTATGAAATGATAGTTATGTTTATATAACCAAATATCACGTGAACACGTGATCTTATACTACTATTCCGTAACTAATTAATGTGTGTTACAAACTATAAATATTAGTTGGAAAAATTATTGAAGTATTACTATTTGTTACATGAGTTAATATAATATTTATTAATTAAATTTTTTTTTTGTTCCAGTGAGGTCTTGCCTTAAATTTATTAATTAAAAAAAGAAAAAGTTTTTTACATTATATAAGATTACATAATACAAAATACACAACTTATTCTAATGTTTATTTGAAAAGATGAGACTTGAACTAACTCATGAGAGATGGGCCCACAACCTACCACCTGTTATTAATTAAATTTTAAATACTATTATTTTCTAAAATTATTATTAATTATCTGCAGATATTTCTAGTATTGTATACTATACTTTTTCATGATAATTTTATTCTATAATACCATTTTGTTTCAGTTTAAAAAAATTCAATATAATTAAACTCACAGTGGAACTTTGGATAGAATATACATATATGTCCTGATGCTTCAATAATCTAAAGATAAGTAGTTTTATTATCTATATTGAAATAATTAATCAATTTATTAATTACAACTTGCCTCTTAAAGATGTATTTTTTGTGATGTAAAGTTAGGTTGAACAGAAAGGATGTAAGTTACTAAATATACTAAATATACTAAAATAACTATACTAATAAAATAAATATAAATAAGAATAAGATAAAATAAAATAATATGAAATTATGAAAGTGAAGGAAATCCATGGTAACAGCGTGAAGTCGAAATAGCCTTCAAAATAGGCTTTAAGAGTTTGGAAGATATTGAAGAGTTTTTTTTTATTTATTATTATTTTTTTAAAAAAATAATTAAAAATAATTAAAGAAACCTACATCTACTTTATCTCTTGTTTTAATAATACATTTACCTTTCTTCTTTTCTAATTCGTGGAGACAGTATAAAGTTGAAATAAGTTTCAAAATAGGCTTCATGAATTTGGAAGATATTTGATATATTTTTTTTTAAAATAATTAAAAAAAACCTATACTTACCTTATTCCTTGTTTTATTAATACACTTACCTTTTTTCACCTTGACTTTGCTAGTTCGTGAAATACCTTTGAAGGCTGGAATTAGCTTTGCAGGTTCAAGGAACGTTTGGTAAACTTTTCTATATTATTTTTTATTTTTTGATTTGTAGGGATAGTGTAAGGTCGCAATAGACTTCATGAATTTGAAGAACATTTGGTGAGTTTTTTCTAGTTTTTTTTTATATTTTTTTTTATATAATTAAAAAAACCTATACTTACCTTATCCCTTGCATTAATAATACATTTACCTTTCTTCTTTTTTGATTTAAGGAATACCATGAGATTCGAAATAGGTGTGAAAAAACATTTAATGAGTTTTTCTATTTTTTTATTTTTTTATTAAATAATTAAAAAAACCTATACTTACCTTATCCTTTGCCTTAATAATACACTTATTTTTCTTCTTTTCTAGTTTGTAGGACACTATGAAATTGAATGGACTTTGAAATGAAATTCATAAATTCGGAAGGATATCTGGTGAGTTTTTCTATTTTCTATTTTATTTTTTTTTAAATAATTAAAAAAATCTATTCTTACCTTATTCTTGCCTTGATAATACACTTACCTTTCTCCTTCTCTCCTTGGGAATTGGGTGAAATTTAGTTCATAGAATTGAAAAAATGTATTTTATTTATTTAACTCTATAATATAGTTTAAGCTTTATTTCTAGTCTTTAAATTCTAAAGTATTAAATAAATATACATAATAAAGTAAAATAAAGTAGACACATTTATATATATACTAGTAAAATAAACTTATTTTTTTTATAATTAAATCATCTATAAATTATCTAAAATATTAACTTAATAATAATATTTATTAAATTCCCTAAAATAATATTTTAAATGATTTAATATATTAAATTATTCAATTTTAAGTGATTTAAATTGATTTTCATAATTTTTAGATAATTTAATATTATTTCAAATCACGAACAATTTGATGTAACTTATATTAGTTTAGATTCTCTAAATTTCTCTTTATTTCCTTTTACAATTATTTTTATTACAATAGAACTTAAAAAATATAAGCAAAATGTCAAATATTGAAGACTATTCTGAAGAATATTTTAAAGAATATTTTGAAAACCATAACACTGATAATAAAATTCTTTCTGTTCAAAATACAACCACATCTCTCCTAAAAAAAGAATTTCTAAAATTTATCAATATTTTACTTATAGAACTAATGAAAGATGACACTGCAAATATTGCATGTAAGTATTATTTATTTTTTATTTATATTATTTTATTTTTATATTTATTGTTTTGTATTTAATATTTTTTTATTTATTATAGTGTTAGTATTTCTGACAAATCTATATCAACTTTAAAACATCATATGTTTTGATTTCATGCAAAAATTTTTGGAAATTCCTATAAAAACTACAATATTTAAAATATACTTTATTAAATATTTTTAAGTATATACCTAAAACAAACTTACTTATTACCTAAATTAAGTATTTTTTAAGTATATTTTAAATATATTTTAATTATAAAATAGTAATATTTTAAGTAAATTATCACAAATATAATTAAGTATATTTTAAATATATTTTAAATATATTCTAATAATATTTCAATAATATTTTAATTATATTTTAAGTATTTTTTAAATATGCATATTTCTTATAGGGGTATCTGAAAGTATCCTACTTCTAGATAGTAAGGTTATAAATAACTTGCTGAACAACTACCTGAAACTTTGAAAAATTATGGAAAAGATAAAGAACACAAAGTTATAAACATAACCTGTTGAACTACTACCTATTACATGAAAAAAAAAACCATGAAAAAAGTAAAGTATCATAGTATAAGAGTTGTATTAATCAAGAAAAGGAATGTCGAGAACTTTTCTTATAGGAACTCTACCTTAATTCATCAATTTAACATAACCAAAGGAACTCAAGAAGTTTCATTGAAGTTTTGAACAACCTGGAAACACAACATTAAATAAAGATTTTACAGATAGCAATGGTATCCAACCTCATCAAAAACCAATATACTTATTTAAGAATTAAATAAGTTTTTGAAAATTTCCAGAAATTTTTGTTCTAAAATTTTATGAATAATAATTTTTGAAAGAGGATAATTATTTAGTAATAAATAAACAAGATCATTTGTGTTACATAATAAAAAAACTTTTTATTTGATCAAAAATTTCCACAAGTCTTTTGAAAATTTTCAAAATAAAAATTTCCACAAATTTTATATAGAAATCTTCCAGAAATTTCCTGATGTAATGAAAATAATGAATATGAAAATGAAAGTGAAATAATTGACTTAACTCCTGATAAATGTAATGAAGAAGCAAATACAAGTGAAAGTGATAAAGAAAATAATATAAAATCAAATGATAGTGATGAAGAAAATAATGTAGAAATAGATAATAGTAATGAAGAAAATAATATTGAAACAGACAATTATTATAATGACGAATTATTTGACTTTACAAATTTATGGAATTAATTAAATAATAATAATAATCATCATTATAAGACCACCAGGACAATGACGTTCCGTTGGATGGGAACATGATGCTGTATTAATAATCAAGACAAACAGTGTTGATTTTCAAATAGGATTTGGAAAAGTTGTGGGTAACGCTTGTATACATGACAATAAAAAAATGACAGAAGATCAAGAGAAAATTTTAAAATGTGAGTAAGAAATTGGAGTTGGTTCTCATTTATCCCTGGTTAATAAAATCATTAAATTCACAGAAATGCAACTTGGACTCTTCTGATTACGACAAATATTTAAACAACGAGAGGTAGATGAAAACGATATTAATAATGCTGAAGCGTATGGAATCATTGTTTACAATAAGTAATGATTCATAGCATGTCTTGTTTTCATTATTTTTATTTAAATTCAACATTCCATTTGTGTAGGAAAAACTTTTTACTTCTATTCAATGCATTATGTCAATAATCTATATCTTGCAGATCAATTTGAAGAATTTACGATTCCTGATAATTCTTTTCAATTGATACAACTATCGGATATCATAAAAAATTATCTTTTGTTTCAAGGTAATGAATAATTCATATCACACCGTTCTCATATTGTAAACAATACCTTAACCATTATCTATTGTCATCAGCAACGCGTTATAAATCTTCATAACTTTATTCAAAGTTTGCTTAATGATAAGCATGGAGTTCGACGAAAACTTCAAACCATTGAGAATGCTATTACGGCATCTTCATAACTTAAAAAAAACCGGAAATATTGCTCATAAAAAACGCCAAGAATGCCCTAATAAAATTACACCAGAAAGTTCTAGGGCAGTTGCTCAGTTTGTAAGAAGGAATCCCTCAATATCTTCATGAACTTTAGTTAATAAGTTGTTTAAAAAAGGTATAGAGGTATCACACTTAAAAATTTTTGCGAATTATGGTGTTCAGTTTGTTAGTCAACAAAATATCATTGTTATATAAAATATATTGTGTGCATTCACGAAAAATTATGAATAAATTCGAGAAATCTCAAAAACTTTGGATCAGTTTATATGTTATATCATAATGAACATATATTAAAATAGAAACTGTAAACATTATGAAGATGTTACTGAGTGCAATCCATATTTTCAAAATGAACCTTTGAGATCCAATTCTATTCATATAATTCTTTCTTGAGTTGATCCTGTGTTTGCTTGCCGTTTATTGGAATCTTCACTACGAAAGAATTCTAATATTCTTCATGTTGTATTCCTTGATTTATTCGGATTTTTAAAGTAAAAATCACATGCGAGTTACAATTTGTAACGCCGATCACTTTTTCCAAGAAAAATTATCGATCATAGGTAGCATCAAATATCAAGACATATAAAAGTAAATGTGATTACATATACGAAATCACCAGGGCTTGGCTTTACTACTGAAGTCCTGTTTCCGTTGTGATCTGTCTGCTATCATGTGCTTATAGTTATCAATAGCTCCCTTATTAATATTAATTTCTTCTGTAACTTAAATGTTACAAAAAATAACATATGATTAAAATTTAATTCACTTCGTTTTGAATGTGTGTAATAATCACGGAGCATTTAAAGTCATAATTTATTAAAAAGACCAATTCTCCGGGATAACTGTTTGTTTTTTTTTTGTTTTATAAATTAAAGAATTCAAGAATTCAGAATTTTATGAATAAATCTTCTATTATGAAAATAATATTACAACAGAAATTAGAAAAATAATGATCCTTGAATATTATGATAAATAAAAATACAAAATTATGTTTTTTCTTGAATTTTTGTGTGAGGTGCATCATTAACATTATTATTATCACCAGTGTCTTCGTTATTATAATCATTAGGTATTATTAAAAGATTTTTTGCCACTAATCCATATCGATCTGAAAGTTTCAAAAAACGCCCATACAACATATTTTCATTCTGTAAATGTAATAATAATAATATCATTATTATGGTTATTATTGTTATTCATTTTGCAAAAGAAAAAATTTGGATCTTTAACTAATTTTTTTTTCTTACTTCGAAAGATTCAAATATTTCTCGATGATGAAACCAAGCATGTGCAAATATTCTATAAAGTCTTCTTGCTATAGGTTGATAATGCTTTAATGAGGTATCAGGAATTGATATCCTTGACAATAAGAATAAATAAATAAATAAATATATATATATATTAAAATTATGTGAGTATTCTTAAAGTAAAGTGTATAATAAATTTTAGGTTTTTTTTTTTTTTTGTTAATTTAATTTAATTACCTGCTAGGAAAATATTTGTGACTATTCAATAAAGTCGTTGCCCCATCCAAAGTATGAACAATGTAATCTATTGCACAACACTATTAATTAAAATAAGAAAAATTTAAAATAGAAGAAATAGAAAATAAAAGAAAATAAAAGAAATAAATAAAAGAAATAAATAAAAGAAATAAATAAAAGAAATAAAAGAAATAGAGGATTCGTACATTCATAGAAGTTTGGTGTGCTGCACATAAATACATCCATTCATCTGCTTTCATCTCGGGACATGTTTCCCGATTGCACTCTGTTTCAAGTTGTACGACCAAATAATTGAGTTCTAGGCATAATTGTCTGTAAAAGTCCAAAGACCATTGAGTGCGATCTTTCAAAAGTCCAAAACTTATTGCAATATTTATCTCACGGACCTTAAATGTTCATATTGCCAAGTTTCTTCGTCTTGTCCTGGTGGTAATTCGACTAACTGATCTAAATTTTCTTTATCTTTTCTTATTAAAGATTGTAAATATTCTTGTAACGCAAAAGCTGAATCAAATTGTTCGAGAGGAATATGCTCGAATTGATATGCATCCTATTATTACATATCGAAAATTCATTTCAAAAAAAAAAAGTTAGGTTAGCTTCTATATGAAATATTAAAATATCATCAATAGATAAAAGTAAACTGTTTAAAAACAAACTTCAAGTTTGGTTCCAGGGCGATTTCTTCGTAAAGAAGTTGTTTTAGTAGCTGAAGTCATATTTATTCAGTTCACGCTTATTGTGGCTAATCAAAATAATTGTAACTTTGCGTTACATTTTATGATCAACAAACTTCACTCGTGTAATCTTTTATTCGTGTTTCGTTTGCGTGTATTTAGAAAATTAATATAAAAAAAAAACATTGAATTTAATAATTTATGACGACGACAAAAGGCAGCGATCTTCTTTCACACGTCAAAAAATTGGTAGACGATGCTACCAATGATTTTAGTGAAGTAGAAAACATTATTGATACATTGACTGCTCAACCTTTGAGCGTAACTGCCGCAAAACTTGGACCAGTTGAACGTGCAAGGTTATATGCCTTATATGCACATTATTTCAATTCACTTTCTTCATGTAGGTTTTTTAAATCAATAATTTATAATATTTCTATATTTAGTTAACTAAGAAATCTCTTTGAAATAGTATACTTAGAATTACATGGAGAAGAGGATCTGGAGGAACTTAAACTTCAAGTAGTATGTATATCATAATAATACTCTTTGTTAACAATTATTATTAATTATTTTTTTTTAATAACATAATTAGTTTTATATTTTTTATTATTAAAGAACCGTGTACAAGAATGTTCAGACAAAATTACAAATACTGTTAACCCTCCACAACCCAAACTAACAGTTGATCGTGAAGCTGCTTCACGGTTCATAAAACACAATTTACCAAAGGATCGTTCAAAACAAGGAAGGGGTAAATTATTTAATATTTCTTTTTTCATTATTCATTAATTTTTTACTTATTTATTTCTTTTATTATAAAAAAACATATGTAGGGAGTAATCGTTTTGATGATGATGCTGAGAGAAAAGAACAAAATGAAAAAGAATTAGATCAAATATCACCACAACATATTATATTTGATAAAGATAATCGTGATGGTGAAGAAGGTGAAATTCTTTTTATCGATTTCTTCTCGATTTCTCATTAATGATATTCACAAAAATTTTTATATTTCAGGTTCAGGATCAAGATCACGAAAAAGGAAAAAAAGACATAATAGAAAATAGTAAATATAGATTGCGAATTTTGTTAATTATTATTTTTATAAAAAATATCAATATCTAAGAAGGAATTAGCCAAGTTTTAAATATCTTCACTTACAAATATTTTTTTGAAAAAAAAAACTCAATAGTCCACAAGTACTTTATTTTTTTTTGAATTGTTAATTAAAAATACAAAAATAATACATTTTATAAAAAAAAAAAAAAAATCCTAAAAAGGGACGTTATAAAAAAAAATTGTACAAATTTTTCGTTTATAAATTTGAAAAGCGAAGAGCAAAATTTGTTATGACAGCAGCTTTTAATTAAATCGATAATAATAAAATAAGTAAAAAATTATTAAAATAAATAAAAAATAAATAAAAAATAAGTAAAAAATTACGTAAAAGTAACATTGAAAAAGAACATAAAAAAAAGAAAACGCCTACCAAAAAGAAATACACAAAGTAAAGTTGGACCATATCTATCATCATAAGGACCTTCTTCCTTCTTTCTTATCTTTGAAGCTCTCCAATGATATAAGAGTAATGCATACATCATCATGGACATGGCTTTATTAAGAAAGAACAAATGAAAAATTAATACTTAATTTTTTCAAAAAAAGAATCTTGTAAAAAAAAGATCCACACATACCAACTAAAGTAAATAGACCAGCAGAAATTCTTCCTATCTTGTCACCAAAGTTAAGAAGACCAATAGCAAGACCACCTAATACAACGGTAAATTGAAGCCAAGAAAGAAAAGTTCTTTCATTGGCAAAGAAAACCTGTTCGATAATAATAATAAATAACACTTTAATAAAACAAATAAAGAAATAAAGTTTAAAAAATGATTATTACATACTTTAGGTTCAATTCTGACGGGAATTATTATACGTCTTTGAGATTGTTGATTAGACATGATTTTAATATTTTTCAAATAATAGAAATAATTTGCTATAAAAAGAGGAAAAGTGGGAAAAGATAAAAGATGGCGTTTTTACTGATTTGTAGAATTAAAAATTCGGAATATCCCAATGAAAATTAGGTTTATTATCTGCAGATTGATATCATGCACGTGACCATAAGTTGATAAATTTCGATAAATTCATGATTAAGTAAAAAATTCTCGATATGGTGATAATAATAATAATAATACTAAATAATTTACTTACATAAGTAAAAAAAAATGAAATGCACCTTTCCCCTTCTAAAAATACAAATATTTTCTCCTTTCCTTACACTTATTAAGACATTTTTTTTTCGTGAATACAAGTATATAAAATCGACATTAAAACTATTGAACATGAATAAATTTCGTAACTTTTCTTTATATAAAATTATTAAATGTACATTTGAGTCACAATGATAAATATTATATATATATATATATATATTGCATGTATTTAATAATATCTAAAATGACAATTTTCATTCAGCCGTAATTTAAACGGAAGATATCATTAAGCACCCAATAAGTGCTACCTTCGGGAATTAGTTGAAAAGCTTGTGTGAATCTTTGAGGATTCTGTTCATCATCAACCTAAATGTAAAAAAAAAAATAATAAAAATAAAATAAAATAAAAAATTTTTAATTTAAAATTAATCAAATTGTAAAAAAAAAAATCAATTAAAAATATTAACAACAAACAAACAAACAAATAAATTATACCAATAACTCTCCAGTGACGACCACGAAAATGCCATTAGAGATGCTAGGCTGAGCATCTAAAGAAGCAATTCGATGTGCAACGCGTTGAAAAGGTAAACTCTGAATAATTCCATATAATTCACACAATATTTCATGAAATTCACATAATTCATACGTATATAATTTATATAATTCGAGAAGGATGATAATTAGTCAAATAATAATAATAATAAAAAAAAATAACATCATAAACATTATTTATTACCGTCATCTTTTCTATAATATTATTAACTCCTTGATGAGGTGCTGCCTCAAATGTAAGCATAGATTGTTCTCTCTATTAAAAAGAATTAAAAAATAAAAATTATTATGAAATTATCGATAAAAATTATTATAAATTTGATTATAAAAAATGGGGGGGGGGGGTTTTCAAGAATCCTTTTTTGGTTAGAATTTGGTCGAGAAAATAAAATATTTTTAAAAGCTCCATTACAGCACCAGATCGTAATAAAAAGGAACTCCCAAAGAAAAATTTGAGACCAATAAAAAAATTCCAACAAAACTTTGTTGTTTAAATGCTTACTATTAAATATGGGTTTATAAGTTTGCTTTTTCGTGAGACCACTTTCCCGGGATTTAAATCTTTTACGGCTCCAAAAAAAAGCATGAAAGAAGGTTACTTACATAAAGCGGTCTAAGATTATTTCTGTCGGAACAGAACACACTGTAATAATAGTTGATGAATTGAGTAGCAAGCGCATTAACGTCACTCATTTTGTTTATTACTTTGGTTTTTTTTTTTTTTTTTCAGTATGGAAGAAGAAATAGGTATTGAAAATGAATGTTGTATGCTGATATTTTTGCCCCACTTTTTATTTTATCTTGTGTAACAATGTTACTGCGTGATAATATGTAAAATTATGTGTAGAATTTTTTTAGTCGTGCACATTTTAGTAAAATAATGTTTCCTTCTCCTTTTCAGGCAACGACGACGACTCATCACTTAAATTACTTACTTAGAGAAGAGCAATCGAAACATAATACATATTTTTTCGAAGGAAGGCAATGTTTACTATTTTCCGTGGAACACGTAAATTAAAAAGGTGGTCCGTCGTTATTTTGATCCTTTTATTGACTTTATTATTTATACTTGGACCGACGATAAGTTCATACTTTATCATTATTAAATACAAATTAAGGAATAATTCATATAATTTGGGCTTACTACCTTGTTCTCTTAGGAAGGATCCAATTTTATTTATAATAGAAACACAAAAAGTTTTAGTAGTTTGGGAATCTAATTGTGAACTTAAAGATGTTAGGATCAAATGGTTCGAAAATAAAGAAAATAATATAATAGAATTATTGAATATTTCCGATATACTCATTCCAATAAAAATTGATAATTCTCATTATGTATATAAAACGAAAATTGGACCATTTAAAAATGTTTCAAAATATTCTTATGAAATTATTCAAATTAATGATGATTTAATTATTTCTAATTCTTTTCACCTTTTTCCAAATAATCCTAATAATAATTCTAGTTTAACATATCCAATTAAAGTAGTGGCATTTTCAGATAATCAATTTGGTCTTAATATATTTAATCATTTAGTACAATCAGCTTTTGAGAGACATTCACCAAATTTTATTCTTCATGGAGGTGATGCAGTACAACAATTTGGAAATCTTCAACAATGGCAAACCGATTTTTATGATCCTTTAACAAATTTTCAATTATCTCAACAAGCTCCATTCATTTATGCTCATGGAAATCATGATCATGATCCTAAACAATTATATACGTATACAACGAATTCACTTTGGTATTCATTTACATTAGCCAATACACGTTGGATCATTTTAGATAGTAATGAAGATGATTTAAGACAAGATGAATGGTTATTAAAAGAACTTTCTTCAATTGAAACCCAAAGTGCTGGATTTAAAATTGTGGTCGTACACATTCCACCTTTTGTGGAATTTTGGGATCCCGAAACATGGAATGGAAATAATGAAAAACATTGGGGTGAATTTGTTCGTACAAGATTTGTTCCAATGTTTCGTACTCATGGTATAGATTTAGTAATAAGTGGACATCAACATAATTATCAACGAGGTCAATTGGATGGAACTGTATATGCCATTATTGGTGGTTCCGGTGGTGAATTGGATCATGAAATAGTTGAAGATTGGAAGATGTATGTTGTTACAAAACAAACTCATCATTATGTATTAATAGAAATTTGGTCAGAAAAGATATTTTGGGTGGTTTACAATTTGGAAGGAAAGATAATTGATAGATTTGAATTGGGTAAAGGGACTATTTTTTCATAATTAAATTATTATTTTTTAATTATTTTTTTTTTTTTTTAATTATTTTATTATATTTGATATTTATTACAAATGATATTACAATAATTATTTGACTAATTGAAAATAATAATTTAATACAAGACAATGAATATACTGTAGTTATATATTTAAATAATAACATAATTTTAATTAAAAATAAGTATTTTATTTTTAACCATTTACAGAATACAATAAAAATCCTTTTGGATTTTTTTTTTTTTTTTTTTTTGATTAAATATATTAAATTTATAAATTTATTAAATATAATAAATTTATACTTATCAAAGAAAAAATAATACAAGTTTTGTCTTAAAGAGGATTTTGATTTATTTATAAATCAGTTTTGACATCCAATTAAAACATATAATTGATAAAACAATTATTGAAAATATTTCTTCATTTTGCCATTTTGCACACAAATCAAATAAATCAAATTATGAAAGAGAAATTCTTTTTTTTTTCTGATAAACAGTTGAGATGCATACCAGTATTTCAATCTACAGTTGTACAATATACAAATTTGGTTTAGTTTGTTACCCCTTAATAAAGCTCTAAAAGGTCCTTTTTCGCTCTAAGTTTAACTTTAGCACCCTTATTTTAACTTGTGAACCGTGTCGAGTTCATTCTTTTACTCAATTTTAACCTGATCTTTTTAAAGATCCAAAAAAAAATTTTATTCTCATTTTTGAAAGCCGATAATTTTTTTTGCACCTATATTGGTTAGTTTAATTTACATTTATCTATTAATTTTTTATTAGAATAACTTTAATACGTATTAAATCATTTCATTCATTCTTTTGAACGGTGGTCCCTTTTTACAGAAGAAAACTATTATAATATTAATTATGTCTTCGGCTTCAGTAAGAACAAAAGGAGGACGTAGGCAAGAAGGAAATTATCAATCCTTTGCAAATTCAAACCAAAGGTAATTTATCTATAACTGTTGTTCGCGTGCGATCCAAAATCACCAAAATAACACCTAAAGATTTTTTTTCCACTTTTTAGCCATAATAACCGAAATTCAAAAAATAAATGGAACAATAACAATAACGCTCAACATCCCGTAAACTCTGTACCGAGGAGCCAAACTATTCCACCAGCTACACAACCCTCTAATAACTATCATAACACTAATAATACATCACACGCAACACCATCTGGAACAAAACCTATCGAAGTAGTTGTGCATGATGAAGTCTCCGCAAATCATATGCACGATCGAATGTTGTATTTACTATCGAATTTCGTGGTGAGCGATGATTTCCTTTATTATTATTATTATTTTATTTTTTTTTTTAAAACAAAATCATTTAACTATGAATTCAAATTATTATTTATCAAATTAATCAAATTATCAAATCTTATCATCAAAAAATATTTAAGGGTATAAATGTCGTAGTAACGGTTAAAACCGGAATAAAATATCAAGGTCTTTTTCATGCAGCTTATACAGAGGGTGAATTAGGAGTCGTTTTAAAATTAGCAAGAAAAGTATTAACTAAGGCGGAAGAAAAAAATCAGACGAATCGTGTGATACCCACATTCATTATACCTCACAGTCATGTAATGGAAATTCTTGCATGCAATGTTGATTTTTCCACTTCGTCAGATAAACCAGTTTCCGAGCGTGAAGGTAATTTTTTTTTTTTTTTTGATTAGCATTATTATAATAATTTTATCTACTTTATTATTATTTATTTTATTTTATTCATTTTTATTTATTTTATTTTATTTATTTATTTAATTTATTAATTTAATTTATTTATTCATTTTTTATTTTATTTTTATTTCATTTATTTATTTAATTCATTATTTTAGGTTTCAGGACCGATACTGATATCACTGGAAATCGGACTGAGATTCGAGAACGAGAACTTCACAAATGGACACCGGATGAATCAGGAGAGACTATGAAGGGTTTAGAAGAAGATGTGAGCCCTGAGTCTAATAATGCGAGTTGGGATCAATTTGCTGCGAACGAACAATTATTCGGACTGACAACCGATTTTAATGAAGAATTCTATACGACAAAGTTAGATAGATCACGGGCAGATTTTAAAGAACGTGAGAGACAAGCGATCGCTATTGCTAATGAGATTAATAAGGTATATAATGCATAATTCAATTTTTTTTTTTTTTGCATTCCAAAATGAAATTATTTAAGTAATTTCCGTTAATCCTATTTAAGACCGCTTCCACAAACACCCATATATTGGAAGAACGAGGTTACCTGGTTGAAGAAAGTCAAATGGATGAAGAAGAAAAGTTAGTTTTCTTAATTCTATATATGCATTTTATTTTTTTTAACATACGAATGTTCTGACATATCACCTTGATTTTAAGATACGGCGCAGTTGTAAGGAACAGGGATCCAAGCAAATACACGCCACCTGCATTAAGAAAATTGCAAGAACAACAACAATCACAAACACAATCACAATCACAAACACAATCATTACAACAACAACAACAACAACAACAACAACAACAACAACAACAGCAACAACATGGATCAACTACTCCAGTAGTAAAAAAACAAGAAACAGTCAAGGAGTCCAATAAAGATGTTAAACCTAAACCTGTCGAAGAATCCAAACAAAATATAAAATCGGTACCGCCGTCAGTGACTTCTATCACTCCCTCACCTTCGCTACAAAAAATTCCACCATTTGTTCCAAATTCTTCATTGGCTCCAAATGCTTCATTGACTCCAAATGCTTCATTGACTCCAAATGCTTTATTGACTCCAAATCCTTCATTGGCCCATTTCAGAATTACAGAACCTGCTATGGCAGCATTGAACTCACATACGCAAAAGGTACAATATTTAAAATTCAATTTAATATATATGCATATAAAATTCGATTACTAAATTTTTTTTTTTTGAATATTTTGTAGAAACCTGGTACTGATTCAGAGGGTAAACCAATTGAAGGTAGTTGCTTAAATTTTTAAGTTTAAGTAAATATTTTCAAAATAAGGAATCTAAAAAGTATTGTCAAATTTTTTATTTATTTAATTAATTAGCGCAAATAGTAACGACATTCAGAAAATTTGCAACCAATGAAAAAGAGCGTCTTCAACAGAGAAAACAAGCGATAGTTAAGAAAGAGATGGATGGTAAAGTGGCTGAATTAATCAAATGGAGAAAAGACTTTAAGGTTTCTTATTATTTTTGTATTAAACATAATGTAATTTTAATATACATATCAATGATCACTAAGTAATGCTTATAAATCAAACAATTCCTTTAGTTAAATAAACCATTACCACAAGATCTTATTCCAATTCTTACTAAGGATAAATCAAAGCAGCTCCAGCTTGAGCTTGCCGTAAAGTCTGCTGCAGAAATTACTAAAAAAGAAAATGACAAAGAGAAAGGAAAACAGAAAGAAAGTGAGGAAGAGAAAGTAAAGGAAAAGGAAAAAGTTAAAGAAAAGGAAAAAGAAAAGGTGAAGGAAAAAGAGAAAGAAAAAGATAAAGAGCAAGAAACTAATAAGACAAAAGACGATGAGAATAAATTAAAAGAAAAAAATAGTAATATTCCAAATGCATCAGAATTTACACCGCCGATTATAAAAATTGAAGAGGAAAAACCTCAAAAATCTAATGGTGAATTAAAAGTCACATCAGATAAACCCACATCCACAGCTGACAAAGCCCCGCCACAATTTCCACCTTCCAGAACACATGTAACACCACATTCAAACCAACATACAGCATCACACACAACAACACATACAACATCGAGTACTCAATTTAAACTAAACGTAAAAGCATCTGAATGGAAACCTAATCCTAACGCGGCAAGTTTCACTCCGGTACGGCGTCACGTATCATAAAATGATTAATCCAATATTTATTTTATTACTTTTATATTTTTTAATGTTCATCTCGGAATATCCGGTCGTTTCTTTTTCATTCTCTTACATGTTTTTTTTTAATATTACAGACTCCCAATACTACTGGAGATAAAAGATCTCCAGGATCCGTAAGTATTTATGATTATACTATGACTTTCTTTATTACTTTTTTTTTAAAAAAATTTTTTTATATCTTTTATAGTCGCCTTTCTTTGGAAATCGTCAATTAAAGAAAAGTTCGGCAACGCTAAAAGATGGATTTAATCCTTTCCAGAAGGGAAAACCTTTGGCCCCTAGTTCAATTCGTAAGATTATCAATCTTTATTGAATTTTTTGTTTTTTATTAATTAATTTAATATCATTTATTTGATTTATTTTTTTTTCTATAGCACCAACGTGGCCTTTTGGTCAAAGACCTTTCAGGCATCATTTTAGTGTAACAAATAATTATGACGACGATATCTATCCGCAAACTGCTGTAAATCAAGGCTTCGGGTTCGCTTATCCTGTAGCTACACCTTACCGATATCCAGCTGGAACACAATTCGTTGGTGTTCCACCCATGCCTATGCAACAGGCAACTCCCATACAATACATGCAGCAAGGGGTAATTTATGATATCTCTTATTCATATAAATTTTTTTTTTTACATATATAATTTATTTGAAAATTTATTGTTTTTATTATAGTTTGTCCCCGGTATGCCTTTCACTACAGCACCCATGCCACCAACCGGCGGTCCACGTAAATATTATTTTACTTTAATATGATTTCTTTGTTGTTTTTTTCGAATAATAAATTTTTTTATTTTTGGCTTAAATCAAATAGCTACAATGTACAGTCCGCAGATTCCATCAGTGATGCCACGTAAGATTTAATTTATTACTTTTAGTATTATAGTTACGATTATTTATTTTATTCACTTATTTATTATAGAACATTTTGGCTCACAAGGATTTCCTTCACCCGGTCGTACGCCAATGGTTCCCGCTGGTATACATCCTCAAATGTATCAACCATATCAAAATCCACATGGTAGGTCGTCGTTACGTTTAGTTTTAATGTTAATTTTATACATGAAAATTTCAATAACCAAACAAATAATTATTTTAATAGGATTACCACCGATGATTCGCTATCCACATGATATGGTTCCGCACGTTCCCCCAAATGGTGTGATGATGGGTCAACGGCCGATGATGATAGATCCACATTATGTACAAAACGAGAATACACCAATGGGTAATTTAATAATTTAATTTATCTTCTTTTTTTTTTAGTTATATAAAATTCATTATTATTGATCTTTAAATATTTTAAATATTTATTTAGAAGTAATGCAAGTTTCTGATCAAACGACAAACCAATAAGTTAATGAACATTATGATTTAAAAAAAAAGTCAATTTATAATTAGGATTTTATAATTGGGATTTTATAAAGACGGGATTCTTTATATTAATTACGAACAATTATTTCCGTCTCCTTTTCCTTTTCCTTGTTCTTGATTAAAGTACTAAGAAAAAAAAAACGATACATTGCGCATTTTTTTAGCGCGGGAATTTTGTATCTTAGATGAGTATTTTGTACTGTACACATACGGACATTTATCAATGTTAAATGATGTATAGATTCGATTTCAAGTTGTTAGATTTTTGGTATTTCGTATTAATTTTTTTCTGTAAATATTAAGTAAACCTCCTTTCTAGGGGGAATCCAAGCCATATGATCAAAGTGCATTCAATTGTACTGACATTTTTAACAATTGGCACTTTTTTTTTTTTAAAAAAAAAAAAAAAATCAATACAATTTTTTGCTCATTTTAAAATTAGTCTTAACCAACTAAGGAAAAAAAAAATAAAAAGTGAAGATACAAAAAGAAATTTTTTTTTGCTTTTGTAACATTATAATAACACTATATAATTCTAGTTTTCACCTCACTTTAATATTATATTAGTAAAACAAATAATCATCTCTCACTATTCTCACTATCAATAAATGCATCAGAACATTCGGGAAATTAATTTTAGGTATTGAATAAAAATCATATGTCTAAAATGGTCATTAAAATTTATTAAATTTATTATCATCATTAAATTACAAAAAGATATGAGATCATGCTAAAAAAAGGAACAATCTTTTAGCCTAAGATCTTAAATCTAAAAGCCCAACTCCTCTTTAGTCAAAACTCCTAATTCCTCTTTGACAGGTCTCAATTCTTCTAAATATTGTTTATATTGATTATCATTTTCAACTTTATTCTTGACTCCTTCAAAAACGCGAACTGCAGTTGAGAAATCATTCACACGTCTTGCAGCCCTGAGAGAAGCTTCAATAACCTCAGGTGCTGGTACCAAATCATAGGCGAAACAATTGTTAAGACCTCTTTGCAATTCAAAACGATCATCAACACCTTCAAAGAATTTCACATAGCGTGACGTAAGCTTTTCAAAAGATTCTTCCTCATGGGCCGCGGAATAAAAACGCAAACCTTTTTAAGCAAAGTAGTAGAATAGAGTGATAAGAATTTTGGAATTAATAAGCGAACTAAATTTTATCTAGATAAAAATTCCATACCTTTGTATGACAAGGTTTGACCCATATAAGAATTATGACAAGTTAAATTATTGGTCAGAATTGTTTTAGGAACAATTTTAGTGGCAATTCTAAGTCGATTCATTTATAATTCTGAAAGTAAAAAAAAAATAATAATAATTTATAATAATTCCATAGAAACCATTCATTATTTTTTTACTTACAGTTTAAACAGTAACTAAGAATAAAAAGATGATGACATTTTCTTAGATCTTTAGTATCAACCAATCAAATGCTTAGAACCTAAAATTAAGGTGTATAGCCTCATCATTATTCTATGATGTAAGATGCTTACGTTTGCATAAAAGATGGTGTTTCAACCAAGTTACACCAAAGATTCATATACATTATCACTTTTTTCATAGTAGATGGATATTTAAGGTTATTTTTTCCAATCTACTATTATAGTTAACTAATAAAGTTAAACAGAAACACAGAAACTAATGTATCGGATCTTATACGAGAATAATCAAAGAATAATAATTTAATATGTATGGACTGCCACGTGAATTGCATGATTTGATTTATATGTAAATATTATCATTAATAAATCTAGATATGCAGCCACTATTTTCAAGAATAATATTGTTTTATTATTATTTTTTTTTTTGATCTTCGATCTCTTAAAATACAAAATTATTCAAAAAAAGGTGCTATATATATATATGTTTACTAATTACTAAATTAAAAAGTGTGATGAATTAAATAATAATAATGTTGTATTGAAAATTTTTTTAAAGAAATTATGCTTGTTTAAATTTAAACTAAATTAAGATTTGATTTTCTAAAAATGCCAAATGCACATTGTTAATTTTTATTATATAAAAAAAAAAAACTTTTATGCAATAAATAATTATTTATATATTAAGTGTTATGATAAAAAAAAATTGTGTTATATACTACAGAAATAAATTTCTAAATGGATTTTAATTGGCAAGGGCCACCAGACTAGTGGTTGTTTGATGTAACAAAGACTCTATTGTGCGTTGTTTTATACCACCGGGAACAGGTAGCATTGTGTCTCCCATTAAAAACTGATCTACTTCTCTAGCAGCCTGTCGACCTTCATTGATACCCCAGACTATCAAACTTTGTCCGCGACGGGCATCACCGGCTGCAAATATACCGGGTACCGCCGTACAATATTTTCCTTTCGGCGTTTCAATGTTCGTGCGAGAATCAGTTTTTAATCCTAAACTTTCTATCAATTTTTCTTCTGGTCCCAAGAATCCCATAGCTAAGAATACTAAATCTGCTTGGAAATATTGCTCACTTCCTGGTATTTCTTTCATTTGCCATCTACCATTTGGATCCTTTGACCATTCTACTCGAATAGAATTTATTCCTATAAAAAGAGTATACATATATATATGTTAATATCAGAAATATATTTTTTATAAACCTTCATTTGATTTAAATTTTTCATTTAGTTTTTTTTAATGTACCTTTTATTTTGCCATTTCCATCTGAAACGAACTCTTTTGTAAGAACGCAATATTCTCGAGGATCCTTTCCGAATTGTACTTGGACCTCAGCATGACCTATTTTAATTTCAAAAAAAAAAATAAAAATAAAAATAAAAATAGGTAAAGAAAGTTAATTATGGCCGATACATATAAAACAAATTATGATTTACAAAATTTCATAAATCAAACTTACCATAATCAACTCTGAAGACCCTTGGGTAGGTGGGCCATGGATTATCTATTATTTAGAATAAAAATATTAGTTAATTTAAACAAATCTAAATTGAAAAAAAAAAAGATAAAGATTTATGTCAAATAAATACCTTTATCTCGGGTTGCTGGAGGTTGTGGTAGCAATTCAAAGTTAACAATAGATTTCGCACCTGTAAAATAATAATAATAATTATTATTATTATTATTGAATGTAATTTACTAATTTATAAAATAAACAAATAATCAATAATATACCAACCATGACGAATTGATGTGGCTATACAATCTGTACCAGTATCCCCTCCACCTATAACTATAACTATATTTTTTGAAAAAATGATTAAATTAATTGACAAGGTTTAAGTATATAATAATAATAATAATAATAATAATAATAATAATAATAATAATAATAATAATTAAAACTCACCATGTTTATCCTTTGCATTAATAAATTTGTTATCTTGAAGATTTGAATCTAATAAACTTTGTGTATTTAACTGTAAAAATTCCATTGCAAAATGTATTCCATCCAAATTTCGATTCGGTATCTTCAAATCTCTTGGCCACGTTGCTCCAGTGGCAACTATTAGTGCGTCACTTTCGCGTTTAATTTTTCCTGCATCAACATTGACTCCAACATGTGCATTTGCAACGAATTTGATTCCTTCTGCAGCCAAGAGATCAATACGTCTTTGAACTATTTTTTTATCTAGTTTCATATTTGGAATACCGTACATTAATAATCCACCAAAACGGTCGTTACGATCGTAGACTGTAATAGTATGGCCTGATTTGTTTAATTGATCTGCGGCAGCAAGACCAGCGGGTCCAGATCCAATAATTGCGACTTTCTTTCCGGTTCTGATGACTGGTGGTCTTGGGGAAATCCATCCCATTTCAAATCCTTTATCAATTATGGCGGCTTCAATTGATTTTATACTAACAGGTGCTTCATTGATACCTAAGACGCATGCGCCTTCACATGGTGCTGGGCATACCCGACCGGTGAACTCGGGGAAATTGCATGTCATTAACAAACGATTTAAGGCATCACGCCATTGATCATTAAATACAAGTTCATTCCATTTAGGAATAATATTACCAATAGGACATCCATTATCTGATTGACAGAAAGGTATTCCACAATCCATACAACGAGCTGCTTGTACTTTGAGATCATTTTCACTGAGGCGTGCATTGATTTCTTTCCAGTCTTTAGTACGTTTACGAGGATTTCGGTAATTATCAACTTTTCTTTTGTATTTCATGAATCCGTGAAGTTTGTCAAGATTCTCAATTCTCTTGACAGTTTCTTCTCCAACCATTGTATCTTCAATATCTAAAAGGGTTGGTTCTTTATGTTTAACAGAAACTTGTGGTTTCGGTGGCTCTACGATTATGGCTTCTTGTTTCTTTTTGGCTTCTTCAGCTGCAAGTCTGTTTTTTTCTAAAATAGCTTTGTAATCGGTCGGCATAACTTTAACAAATAATGGAAGTATTTGATTAAAGTTTCTCAAAACTTTATCGGCAATTTCTGATCCAGTATATCTATAATGATCTGTTATCAATTCACGTAAAATTTCGATTTCTTGAGGTTCATTGACGGTTTCAAGGCACACCATTTCAAAATTACATTTACTACGGAAATCTTGTGCCTGATCTAGAATGTAAGCAGTACCGCCACTCATACCAGCTGCAAAGTTACGACCAACTGAACCTAAAACTACTACACGACCACCAGTCATATATTCACAACCATGATCACCAACACCTTCCACTACAGCGGAGGCACCAGAATTACGTACACAGAAACGTTCAGCAGCAATTCCTCGGAAGAATGCTTGGCCTCCAGTAGCACCATATAAGCACACATTACCAACAATGATATTGTCTTCTGATTTAAAGGTTGAAACTTTAGGGGGATATACGATTATACGACCACCGGATAAACCTTTACCTACATAATCATTGGCATCGCCTTCTAATTCTAGAGTAATTCCTGAAGCTATAAAGGCACCAAATGATTGTCCGGCAGAACCTTTAATATTAACATGAATTGTACCATCAGGTAGACCATTTTCACCATGTGCTCTTGAAACGTGACATGCTAAAGTGGAACCAAGAGTACGGTCTGTATTCAGAATATCACAATCAATTGTAATAGGTTTTTTCTTTGTTAATGCATCTATTGATTCATCAATAAGTTTGTTATCTAAACGAATATAAAGCCTGTGATCTTGTTTATGAACATTATAAGTTGCAACTCCAGGGCGTAAAGTAAAAGCAGGAGTTAAAATTGGAGTTAGATCTATATTTTCTGTCTTTGCATTGCGTAAAGAGTCGTTTACTTTTAGTTTATCTGATCGGCCGACCATCTCATTTATAGTGCGGAAACCGAGCATGGCCATAATTTGACGGCACTCTTCAGCAACGTAACAAAAGAAGTTAATTACATCTTCGGGTTGACCTTCAAATTTCTTTCTAAGTTCAGGATCTTGAGTAGCAATACCGACTGGACAAGTATTTAAGTGACATTTTCTCATCATAATACAACCCATAGCGATTAAAGGTAATGTAGCAAATCCCCATTCTTCAGCACCCAATAAACATGCGATTGCTACGTCACGACCAGTCCTAATTTGACCATCTGTTTGAACAACTACCCGACCTCGAAGATCATTTAATACAAGAGTTTGATGAGTTTCTGCTAGACCCAATTCCCATGGTAAACCTGCATATTTTATACTAGTCCATCGGGAAGCACCGGTACCGCCATCATGGCCAGAAATTAAAATATGATCAGCTTTAGCTTTAGCTACACCTGAGGCAACGATACCGACACCAACCTCTGATACCAATTTTACAGAAACACGAGCTCGTGGATTGGAACATTTTAAATCATAAATCAATTGTTTTAAGTCTTCAATAGAATAAATATCGTGATGAGGAGGTGGAGAAATTAAACCGACACCGGGAACAGTTTTTCGTGTATTATGTGTTACGGTACAGTCACGAAGGAGCATTCGTTCATTTCCATTGGTGGTAAAACCGTAAAATTGACCATTAGTATCTGTTGGAATTACTTTAAAGCCCCAAGAGTTATAGTGACAACAATTTTCTTTTTCGGAGCATTTAGGAACGAACTTTTTACTAGTAGTTGGAAGTAAATGAACGTTGTGACCTCCAATACGTACGTGCCACATAGATTGAGTTTGTATTTCGTCATTTTTAATAAAAGTAGTAACCTTTCTTGCATTTAACCCAGAGAGATTTGCCAATTCTCGGACTGTGTCGACAATATGTTTCTGATGGATGAAATTAAATATATTTTTGTTCTCTTTATAGCTTCCAGCAACATCAATTAAACCAGAAAGAAGATGCAAACGAACATCTAATTTATCGAGAATCAATGCACGAGGGAAAACCTTTGAGTCATCACCTTTATTGTTCAAAATACCGAGTTCATGCAAGATTACAGTAAATGAATCGCCGTGAATAACCAATTTTGTGATTTCATTTTTGTTGGTGTTAATATAAAAGGTCGCAAATTCATTATTGGATTTTTTAAAATTCTTTTGGATCGTCGTAGTGATCTCGCATCCGATAGCCTTGACAGCATTCTTTACTCTGTTAATAAAATCGCCATTCTGATAAACAATAAAACTGCCTCCTATCTGTGCGCCAATGAGCCATGCGATTTCGTGAAGTTGTTTAGTGTCAAGTTTTTTGTTAAGTACTTTATGAATAATTCCAGCAAGATATCCTTCACGAGATGGAAAGTTTATAACTCCAGGCATATATAATGTGCACACTTTCTGAATAAATTTCGGTTGTACTATGTAATTATTAACACTAATTTCCCAAACAAATCCATCTTTATTAAGATTTGGCACACAATTTTTAGCTATTTCTGCAGCTTTTTTAGCGGAAGCTTCGCTTGACCAATTCTTGGATGGGAATTTGAAGTATTTATTCATTTTTTTAATGCTATTAGTTTCAGGTATGTGTTCCCACCATTCTAATATATATTCCCATTGAGATTTATTGCCACAGCATCTTTGGTGTTTATAAACTTTTGGAGCTCTACTTATTTTGAGACAAAGGATATGTTCATCATTTACTTCAAATGAGTCACCTGGGCACATTTTGCCAGTTTGAATTCGATACATTTGCCCTCGACCATTGTTAATTCCAAGAACATTACGGATAGTGTTGTCATCGCCCATCAACTTGTCATTAATTTGAATTTCTTCAACTTTTTTTATTGAACCATCGAACATGAGAAATTCGGTACCAGGAGCCCAACATCGTGCAATTTTTTCATCTATTTTAGTTCCCTATTAATAAAATAAATAAAAAATGTTTTAAAAAATGTTCATAACAAAAAAAAATCATCGATGAGAATAATTATGTGAATAATTATTAGCCAGGTAAGCAAGTTTTTTTTTACCTTAAGTTCACCTGTATAATGTATAATCGTAAGCAATAAATTATTTGAGAAAAAGATTAATAAACATATCAAATAGATTTTGAAAATGTTGTCAATGATAATTATGATAAAACTGACCTCCTTCTCCTGGCTTGGCACCTTGAGCCATTTTAATTTGTAACTCATCAGAATCAGATAGATAATAAGAAGTAACACCGAAACGACCCGATGCGACTTGTTTAATAGAAGAACGCATAGAATCACCATTTGGTAACGGGATTGAACGTGCAGAATCTAAAAATAACATAAAAAGGTACTTTAAAAATTTTCCAAAGAAATAAATTTAATAAATTTCATGAAACAAATTTTTATAGATTTACCTTCACCACCTTCACCAGTGTTTGATTTTCCCCCTAAACGATTCATGGCAATGGCTAAAGAAGAATGGGCTTCCATTGAAATTGAACCATAAGACATAGCACCAGTACAAAATCTTTTGACAATAGAAGTCCATGGTTCGACTTGATCTATTGGGATAGGTTTGGAATTTTCATAATCGAAGTCAAGAAGACCACGTAATGTACAATTTTTGATTTGTTCAAATGCATTTCTAGAATAGGCGTCGTAAGATATTTGATTTTTTTTACGAACTGCGTCTTGTAAATTTGCGATCCCCACAGGATCGTTAATATGAGGTTCACCACCGTCGCGCCAATGAAATTCACCAGCTTCAGGAAGACCTGGAGGCATGATAATATCACGAGTAGGATAACCTTGTTCATGGAAAGCAAGTGCATCCAGAGCCAAAATATGAAATGTTGTTCCTAAAACATTAAAAAATAATAATTTATGGTTAAATTAGAAAAATTAGATATGAAGCAATGCAACAATAATAAGAATAATGAATAACAAATTACCTTTTATTCTACTAGCTGTACCAGCAAAGCATCGAGCAATGACACTTTCATCAATACCCAAAGCTTCAAAAATTTGTGCACCTTTATAACTTTGTAAAGTTGAAATTCCCATTTTTGACATAACTTTAAGTATACCATTATTGATTGCTGATTTATAGTTGCTAATAATTTTTTCAATAGGTAATTCACTTTTGAGTGCTTTTTCACGTTTTAATTTTAAAATAGTTTCTAAGATAAGATAAGGGCAAATTGCATCTGCACCGTAACCTAATAAGACACAAACATGATGTACTTCGCGTGCTTCCGCTGTTTCAATTATAAGAGCAATCTTTGAACGTTGTTTATTTCGAACAAGGTAATGATGGACACCACCGACAGCAATTAATGAAGAAATTGCAACTCGTTCCGCATTAACGGCTGTATCAGAAAGAACAACAACTTTAAGTCCTTCTTGAATGGCCATAGATACTTCAGCACAAACACGTTCCAAAGCAAGAAGGTAACCGGGAACACCTTCTTGTTTAGGGAATGTAATATCAATGGTTGCAACATTCCAATCTGGTACAACTCGATCCATTCGTTTGATAGCATTTAATTCCTCAATTGTAAGTACTGGGGAAGGCAATGCAAGCCTATGAGTTTGTTGTTCATTAATTTCTAAAATATTTCCTTCCGGACCGACATAGCACTCTAGAGACATGACAATTTCTTCACGAATAGGATCAATTGGTGGATTGGTAACTTGAGCGAAAAGTTGTCTGAAATAATCATAAATTAATCGTGGTTGACTCGATAAACAAGCTAAAGATGAATCATTGCCCATAGATCCTAAAGCTTCTTTGCCATCGTCACACTAAAAAAAATAATATAAATAATAATCATATTATTATTATAAATTATAAATATAATAAAATAATATAATCAACTATATAATTATTGAATTATTATTATTATTAAAATAATACCATTGGTAAGATTAAAAGATTTAATTGTTCGATGGTATAGCCAAAAGCACGTAATCTTGGATCTTCGGAAATAGTGAGATTGTCCAATTCAACTTCAATACCATTACCAGTAGCTTTAATTTTTTGAATTACACTATCTAGAGAGACTAATTGCTTTTCGATCCATTCATGGAAATTTTCTCGAGAAGCAACAGTTAATTTCAATTCTTTGTCATCTACAACGCAACCTTCTTCTGTATCAACTAATAACATTTTTCCTGGTTGTAAACGTCCTTTTTGCACAACTTTCTCGGGTTCAATTGGAATAGTTCCAACTTCGGATGCACAAATCATCAAATCATCAGTGGTAATATAAAAACGACATGGACGTAAACCGTTACGATCTAAACTAGCCCCACAATAACGACCATCTGAGAATGTAAATAAGGCTGGTCCATCCCAAGGTTCCATAAGACAAGCAGCCCATCGATAAAATGCACGTTTTTCTGGTTCCATAGTGTGATTATTTTGCCAAGCTTCAGGAATCATTACCATTACGGCTTCGGGAAGAGTTAACACTCCATTAATGACAAGCAATTCGAGTACATTGTCAAAAGCAGCTGAATCAGAACCTCCTTCCTCAATAATAGGATATAATTTTTCTAATTCATTTCCAAATAAATCTGATTTCATGATACCCTCACGAGCTCTCATCCAATTTTTGTTTCCACGTAAAGTGTTTATTTCACCATTGTGAGCACACCAACGCATCGGTTGAGCACGGTCCCAAGAGGGAAAAGTGTTTGTGGAGAAACGTGAATGAACCAAAGCAAAATGAGTTTTATAGTGGACATTGTTTAAGTCATGGAAATAATTGTAAACTTGTACGGGAGCTAATTGACCCTTATAAATAATATTTTTGTTTGATAAGGAACAAATATAGAACCATTTTTTAACGGAAATGGTATGAGTGGAGTGTTTTCGGAGAACATAAAGTTGACGAGCAAAATAAGTTTCATCAAACATATTAATATCATCTTGATAAGTTGATGATTGTTTTTCATCGGAATTATTAAGCGAAGCTAAAGTAACAAATGGTTGTAAAATTACGGGTTCACGCGATTTTGCAGAAGGACCAAGGATAGAATTATCCTTGGGAACTTCTCGCCAACCTAGAACCTTGAGATTTAAATTTTCAGCAATTCGTTCAAAAGTTTGCTTGCTTTCCTCCATTACTATTGGTTCAGGTTTTAAAAATATATTACCAACAGCATATTGACCTTGAGGAGGTAAATTAATACCCAACCTTGAAGTTTCTAAATGAAAAAAATCATGAGGAATTCCAGTCATAACACCGGCCCCATCCCCGTCACGTGCATCCGCACCCACAGCTCCCCTGTGGGTCATATTACAAAGGATACCTCTAGCATCGCTAAGAATTTTGTGAGAAGGTGCACCTTTGATATGTACGATGAAACCTACACCACAAGAATCTTTTTCATATTCAGGATCATAAAGACCTTGTTTTGAAGGAATTGATTCAGCCCAAGAATTATTATTTGATTGTTGTTGTTGTTGTTGTTGATTATAAATATTTTTTTGTTCAGATTCAACAGTAGATACCATAATTAATTTAAAGTAGTAAAAGAAGAAGAATTTCTCTAAAGATAAATAAAATTTAGATATTTTATCGATATTAATTCTATTATATGAGTATAATGTATTTAGATTGCAGTATTAATGTATTAATTTCTGGAGAGTTTTAAAGATTTGATAGAGGAAAAAAGAGACCCTTTTTAAAGAGTGCGGTTATTTACAGGAAAAATAATATAAAAAAAAAATAATAAAAAAAGAGGGAGGAAAATGAGAATGGATTCAATTCTAATCACGAATTTTATTTATATTATTTTTTTTTTTTTAAGATATATACACTGAATCGTATTTAATAAAGGGAAAGACAATTTTTGAATTTTGAATAAAAATTCGTTATTATTATTATAAATTCAATTATATTCAACCCTTTTAATTAAAATAATTATTTTGATTAAAAATGATTGTTAATAACATAAAAGAATAAAAACGTAAGATGTGAAGAAACCAAAAATTACCTTATTTCTATTAAAAATTCGTGTAGATAGTAAAAAATAAAAAAAAAAAGATATAATTACTAATTATTAATTGAAGTTGATAAATTTTATAGATAGGAATTAGGTCTCTCGTAATAATGGATTTTATTAAAGACGAGAATTTTAGTTAGATGAAGAAAAATGAGGAGAAAAAACTGAGGTTGATTTTATTTGATTTTTAAAAATTATTTAGATTTCAAGATTTGATTTTTTTTAATGATAAAATAAAAAAAAATATATATTAATAATAATAAAATATTAATAATAAAATAAATTAATTAATAATAAAATAAAATAATAAAACAAAAATGCTAATATATTGAGTATAATATACATCTTTTTTTTTTTTTTTGTTATCTTATCTCTTTAATCTTTACTCAATGTAAAAAAGATTCCATTTAAGCGATAAATTTTTTTAGTTTATTAAAATTCGTTATCTTGATCTCACCGAGAGAACAGATAAATGGCATGTGAGCATTTAATGTAGTACCGTTGAATTTCTTATCATGAATAAACTTGTTTATCCGTTTTTTTTTTTTTTTTGAGAACATTTTATTTAATATTATTATTGATTCGTAAATAAATAAATTATAAAGTATTTTTTTATAGTAATCGACAATTGGTATAAACGAATTGATTTAAAAAATTTAGATTATCTTGTCGTTTTGTTCCAAACTCATTGTTACACTTGTAAACAAATACCAAACATTGTCTACATTTCATTCGATTCGTTTGTTAGTATCGTAATATCAATTTTATCACGTGTAAACAATTGATCAGATAATCTTTAATGGTTTTTTTTAAACTGTTTTTTTGACTACGTAAAGGAATTTCCTTTTCTTTTGATCCTCAAAAGAAAATTAAATGTTGACAGTTATTATTTGTCATATAATAAAAGGTATCCATGATTTTTTTTTTTTGATTTGTAATTTAAAAAATATTAGTACATGTGAAAAAAGAGCTAATTAAAACTACCCAAATTTGTATTTGTATTTTTTATATAAGTATAATATATCTCAGTCATACTTTTTTCTTTTTCATCAATATTCTCTATTAATTCCCGAAATTTAATATAAAATCCCATTTTGAGGGAAGGGGAAGTCTGTGATGTGCGAAAATTAAAATTACATATATTAAATATATGGTCGATGTGAGTTGATAATTGGAGAGGTGAAATTTAATACGGTGATGGCCGAGTGAAAAAAATATTTAGGATAGATGTGCTTGAGTTACGTGCGTTACGTGTAACTATATTCACATAATACGTTAATTACTTTAATTTATTACGATTTTATAAAAATAATAAAAACGCCTTTTTTTTTTGTAACTGGAATAGTTAAAATAACTAAAAAGACAAAAAAACCTGGAGAAGTTGAAGATAGAGACCTTTTTTTTTTTAGTACAAAAAAAAAAAAAAAAAAGAATTTTGACCAACTTAATAAAATGTTGGACCCAGTATAATAAGTTCACTGAGTAAATTTACTAATATTATGCAATGAATTTCGTGAATTCGGTGATTATCGAATTTTTTATCATCAATAGTAAAGATAATATCAATAGTATAGTCATATGATATGATTAATCCACGCGGCCTCGGAATAAATCGCGTGCTACTCTTTTTTATTATCGATGGGCTCAAAATATTTGTAATTCTTTTTAAAAACCAAACATTGTTCATTTCTATAATTTTTTTCCGTTATTCGAAAGCCATGCATGATAATATTTGGTATTTCTTTTTTAATCAAGATTCTGCAATCTTTTAAAAAAAAATGATCAAAAATAATAAATATAAAATTCGTTCATCGAATTCGATTGATTATAAATGGCTTTATTTTGTACTACTTAAATGAATGAGATAACGAAAATCTAACTTTAAAAAAAAACATGAATTTATAGAATTTTGTATTGCATACTATACATTTTTTTTTTTATTTAAATATATTGTCATTTTTATTGCATATTTTTTACGTTTATTTGTCATATTTTTTATTTTATTTAATTGCTTTACATTCTATATATTTTATTGTAATATTTTTTTACTTATCTTCAATCTGACTATCTACCTTCAAAAGGAGGAGGTTTAAATTGTTGACAAATCCAAAAAAAATTCGATCGTTTCTAAAATCTTTAATTGCCATTATATTATGAACCAAATTTCCTTTTTCGAATAAATAACGATTTATTTCTTTCAATATTATTATTATATACATATCTTTTTTAAAAGAAAGAGTACATCAATAAATATTTAGATAAGATTTAACAGTTGGATTAATAAATAATATTATAATTTAGTCAAGGAAAGTTAGGACATGATCTAACTTGCATATTTGAATTACCAGTAAGTTCTTATGGGATCACGTGTTTATGCAGGCTGTAAGGTAATGCAGATGAAATCTTATTACCGTATGAGGAACATAAACGCGAGGCAACAATTCTCAAAGGTTCCTGCCTGAAAAAGTTTGGAAAAAGGGAAGTTTTAAAAAAATGTCATTATTTATAACAGTGATGACCCGCCGATCATTACACTATCATAAGTGATACATTGTAATACATTATGGGCGCATAGAAACGATGAAAATAATATTTAAGTTAATATCGTATCGCAATGTTGTTATCAGGAAATTCTTTAATGAGATTTCGATAAATTGTATTAATCTCACTTTTTGATGTTTTACCACAATTAAAGAATAAAATTCAAAAAAAAAAAAAAAAAAGTTTTTAGTCGATTTATTAATCACGTGTTCTCGAAAATTTGTTAAATACAATGATTGTAGTGGCATAAAATTTGGTAAATACATATTATAAATTGTATTTATGATAATATATTTTAAATTTAAAATTACTAATTTTTCATTTTTATTCCTTATCAATTAAATTTTTAATTTTCATTCATTTGTAGAAAATTTATATACAATGAAGAAAAGAAAAAAAAAAAAAAAAAAAAGGAACAAACAAACAAACATTACAAAAGACTAAAAATTTCTTCATGTTTATATGAAATCCTCATCTACCAGTAGAAGCCCCCCACTTATTATTTCATTATTTCTTCATTTCCTGTATAATACTTTTCTTAAATAAATAAAATATGATAACTAAGTTATAAAATGTTATAACAATTCACAATATTTGAGTACTTATGAAAGATCTTTTAAATGGAAGTTGTATTATACGATTTTTAATGTATTTTTATCATATTTTACTTATTCTTCAAGACAAGGTATCCATCCTTGTAAGCTGCAATATCCTTCGTTATCGAAATAAGACGTTCCTTGTTTCTAGGTTCTTCTTTAAGTTTACTTTTAAAGAATTGAATCAGATCACGGACTTTAAGTTTCTTGGAAAGGATTAAGCTTCTCACTTCACATTCTCTTATTAAGTTAGATGTTGAAATCTTTGGTTCACTTGAACGTGTACGCTTTATTCCAATAATAGAGGAAGTTTGATATTTTGAAGTATCCATTCGTCTTTATTTGATTTATTTGATTTATTTGATTTATTTGATTTATTTGATTTATTTAATTTATTTGATTTATTTGAATTATTTGAATTATTTGAATTATTTGATTTATTTGATTTATTTGATTTATTTTTGATAAGCTCAATTTTTAAAAACAGTTGACCAAAACGTAAAAACTTATAAGACTTTTAAATACGTAAGACTTTGACACATGATGTTACACGACTTAAACGGGTATATTAAATTCGAGAACTGATCAAACAGATCACAAAAAATTCAAAGATGCCAGCGGCCACTACTAATAAACCAATTACTCAGAGTACAAATGTTATAGTTCATCCTTTGGTACTATTGTCTGTTGTAGATCACTATAATCGAGTTGCTAGAAACACCAAAAAGCGTGTGGTTGGTGTTCTATTGGGTCAAAATAATGGGAAAACCGTGAATGTTGCCAATAGTTTTGCTGGTAATTATCTTGAAACTTGTTACATCCAAAATAATTTATCAAGTTTCAAAATATTTATATAGTTTGGACTCCTTAAATTTTCTAAAATTCGAATATTTACAAGCGTTACTTAAAATGCAGTTCCCTTTGAAGAAGACGAAAGGGATCCTTCAGTATGGTTTTTAGATCATAATTATGTTGAATCTATGAATGACATGTTCAAGAAAGTTAATGGTAATATAAAAACCTTTATTTTTAATATTATAAAATAATTAATATTTTTACAAAATAATTAGATAATTAATATTCTTTTATATAGCGAGAGAAAAAATGATTGGTTGGTATCATAGTGGACCAAAACTTCGAGCATCAGACTTGGAAATCAATGAATTATTCAAAAGATACACTCCAAATCCAGTTTTAGTAATTGTAGATGTGAAACCAAAGGATATTGGAATTCCAACTGATGCTTATTTTGCTATTGAAGAAATTAAAGATGTATGTATGAATATGAAAACTATTGAAATATTTTTAAAATAATATTTTCAAATATATATATATATATATTATTATTATTATTATTATTATTATTATTATTTGAAATAATATATATATATATATTTTTTTTGAATATTAAATTTAGGATGGTACAGCTACTACAAAAACGTTTATGCATGTTCCATCACAAATTGAAGCCGAGGAAGCAGAAGAAATCGGAGTTGAACATCTTTTACGTGATATTAAAGATAATGCTGTAGGAACACTTTCCACTCGAGTTACTGATCAATTAAATTCGTTGAAAGGTCTTTGGTCTAGACTAGAAGAAATACGCGATTATCTTCAAAAAGTGGTTAATAATGAATTACCTGTAAACCATCAAATTATTTATAACCTTCAAGACATTTTCAACTTATTACCAAATCTCAATGTAGCTGAAATGGTAAAATCATTCTCGGTAAAGACAAATGATCAATTGTTGGTGATTTATTTGTCTTCTTTAATTCGAGCTGTTATTGCACTTCACAATTTAATTAACAATAAAATTGAGAATCTAAAAGGGGAAAGTGTTCAGGTTGAAGTTGAAGAAGAAAAGAAAGAAGAAAAGAAAGAAGATGATAAAACAAAAGATTCTACTACTACTACTACTACTACTACTACTACTACTACTAAGGATTCGAAAGAGGGAACAGATACAAAAGAAAATAAAAAATAAAAGATAAACAAGAGATCCAAAAAAAAAATATATTACTTGTGGGAAACATATTTTGAAATTGAACACATGTATTTATACATATATAACAGATATATTTATGCGATAGCTTTTACAAATTAAAGTACAAAAAAAAAATTATGTTTTAATATTCTTTAAAATTATTATTATTCAATTTAAATTTCAAGGAATATATATATACAATTTTAATTTAAATAAAATTTATAAAATTTCTTATCATTCATTAATAAGGACATTCTCGTGTTTTCATGTGATCAAGTTAACGTAGCACAAGCTAAATAACTTTATGTATGTACGAAAAAGAGAAAAGGAAGTGCTTTTTAAGTGTTTAAAAGGTTTAAAATATTGTCGGAACTTTATTACAAGATTCGTTTTTGAGTATAACCTTTACTTTCGCAATTAATTTTCACAATGCCGGAAGAAAAAACTGAAACTCGTCTAGATGCCAAAACTTTTCATAAACGCGTGAGACATTTTCTTAATGTCTGGAAGGTAACTTAGGCAAATTTGAAGTTTTCTCGAAAAATTTAAAGATCACTCAAATATAAAATTAAAAAATTACCAGGAAACTTCGAGAAAATAAAATAAAATAAAATAATTTTTTTTTTTTGATTTTCATAAACAAAGCGCGTAGATTTATTGAATTGACATATTAAATTTTTATTATATATATATATACTATTTTAAGACTTCTTCAAGTTCTTCTGATAGTCCTTTTCAAGGTGTAAATGCAATTTTAATAATTGTTAGTGATATTTCCGAGGAAAACCCATATCAAAAGTCTACAGCATTTCAGGTGATTTTTCAATTAATATCAAACTTTCCTCAAAACTGGTTAAAAGTTAAAACAAAGTCTTAATAAATCGTTATTAAAGCAATGGATTTTAGGCTACGAGTTTAAGGACACTATAATTGTCGTAATGCAAGATAAAATACATTTTGTGGTCAGAGAAAGGAGAGGTATTAAAAGTATTATTATTATTTTTTTTTAATAATATTTTTTATGGAATTTAGAATTTTGAGATTTAAAAAGGTTTGAATTGTTCATTAGCCGAAGTATTAGAACAGTTAAAACAAGGAGATCGACAAGTACCGATTGAGATTCATAAATTAAGTAAAGATGTATCTCATAATCAAAAAGTTTTTGAATCAATAATTTCTAAAATTACTGAAGGAGACCAGGTATGAAATTATATATATATATATATATATATATTATTAACACCTTAAATTCACAATAATTATAATCATTAAATTTTATCGATTTTATTTATTAATAGAAAAAGGTCGGATTATTGCTAAAAGAAAAACCTTCTGGCAAATTTTATGATGAATGGTTAAATATTTTCAAACAACATAAAGATAACCTAGAAGAAGTTGATATATCTTCGGGAATAGCTACAGCTTTAGCAGTAAAAGATGAGGAAGAATTGGTAAAATTTTGGTTTTTTTTTTTTTTCTTTTTTTATTATAATAATAAAAAAAAATTTTTAATTAAATAAATCTTTTGAATGTTTTAGAGAACAATACGCACTGCCAGCAAGATAAGCATTACTATGATGAACCGTTTCATTAATGTGGTAACAACGATTGTAGATGATGAAAAAGAAACAACTCACGATCAATTATCAGATAAAATTGAGAACATTTTGTATTCAAAAGATGACAAATGGCTTAGCAGTCAGAAAACATTACAAGATGTAGACTTTGAACGAACAGACATATGCTATGCCCCAATTATTCAAAGTGGGGGCAAATATAATTTCAAAGCTACCGCACAGTCTGACAATAACCTTTTACATGACGGAACGATCCTCTGTTCGTTAGGTGTTAGATATAAATCATATTGTTCGAATATTGGTCGAACTATTTTAATTGATCCAACTAAGGTGATTAATGTTTCTATCATTTATAATACTTTGTATTATTATTATTATTATTATTATTATTAACAAATCAACAAAACACTCACATTCACATTTTTCTCATTAAAACAGGATCAAGAAAAAACTTATGAATTTCTTTTGGATCTTCAACGACGATTATTAGAATGGATTAAAGATGGTGTAAAAATTTCTGATGTTTATAAAAAAGCATTAAAATATATTAAGATGAAACGTCCCGAACTTGCAGACAAATTTGTCAAGAATTTAGGTCATGGAATGGGAATTGAATTTAGAGAATCCAATTACATTTTAAACCTAAAAAATGATAAAGAATTTCAAGCTGGAATGGTATTAAATTTATTTACTGGATTTGTTGATTTAGAAAATCCTAAAGCAACGGATGCAAAAAATAAAGTGTTAGTTTGTACAAAAAAAAATAATTTGAATTGTTCATTTTCTTAAACGATTAATTATTAAAACTTTATATCTTTATCCGTAGTTATGCACTTTGGATAATAGATACCGTTAGAGTCGGTAATGATTCAGCTGTATCATTTACGGAAGGCAACAAGAATTTAGACAGTATTTGCTTCTCGCTTAAAGTAATATATTTTCCATTCAAAAGTGATATTATATACATTTACGTATAAATCTGTTATTTATACATCTAAATTTAATTACAATTTCAAGGATTCAAACGAAAGCGAACAAGAAGACACGAAAAAGGCAAATAAACGTCCTACGAAACCTGCCCAGACTGCAAGATCAGCCGCTCGGAAAAGTGCCATATTAAAAACAAAATTCAGAAGCGAAGAAAAAGTAAATAAAAAATTTTATACCTGATTAGGAAATACAAATTTTATTTAACTTTTTACATATTTAATTTAGGATGAAGAGTCAATAGAACAACGACGAAAAAGACATCAAGAAGAATTGGCAGCTCAGAAACAAGCCGATGGTCTAGCTAGATTTGGGAATGGCGTAGATCATAAAGCAAAACAACCCCAAGAAGCATTTCGAAAATTCGAAAGTTACAAAAGGGATACTGCATTACCGAAAGAAGTTAAAGATTTAAAGGTAAATAATTTAAAAAGAAAATTAATTCACTTCAACTTATTCATTAACATTAATTTTGATTGATTACACAGATTATTGTAGATCAAAGAAACGAGTCGATTATCTTACCGGTATTCGGTTTTGCGGTCCCATTCCATATTTCAACATTGAAAAATGTTAATAAATCGGAAGAAGGCGAATATATATATTTACGTCTTAATTTCTTGACACCTGGTCAAGCATCTGGTAAAAAAGAAGATATGGTGAGTACATTATTTATTGACAACTAGTAATAATTTTCTGTTGAAATTCATCTTTAATTTTCATTTTTCACCTTTTAATTTCTATTATATTATTATTACTTTAGCCATTTGATGACCCAAATGCGAATTTTATTAGAGCTTTTACATATCGTAGTACTGATCCGTTATTGGCTGATATCTATAAAGGAATTTTGGATCTAAAGAAAAGTGCCGCTAAAAAGTAATTAATTTATGTTTTGTATATTTTGTATTATAAATTTTGAAAATACTTCGCTTATTGTGTAAATATTTTTAAAATGTTTTTAAAATATCTTTAGGGAGGCGGAACGAAAAGAAATGGCTGATTTAATTCAACAAGACAAGTTAATTGAATTAAAAGGTAAGAAAAATTAAGAACATTAAATCGTAATTTAAGTAAATTTATTTTAATTCAATTTATAATTCATTTTTTTAGGCCGTAGACCTTCTCACCGTTTATCGGATGTATTTGTAAGACCTGGTTTAGAAGGAAAGCGTGTACCAGGAGAATTAGAGATCCATGAAAATGGCTTGCGTTACCATTCACATCGAACGAATCAAAAATTAGGTAAGTTATTTAATTTATTCAATTTATTCAATTGACAATTATTCCTTTAATATTAATTATTTTAATAATGAATGATAATGAATGATAATAAATTATTATTAAATTAGATATTCTATTCAGCAATATTCAACATTTATTTTTCCAACCTTGTGATAATGAACTTATTGTATTATTACACATGCATCTCAAGAATCCTGTAATTCATGGCAAGAAAAAAACCAAGGTTTTTATATAATAAATTTCAAAACCATTATTGCGTGTTTGATTATTTAATTAACGTAATTGACGTGAAATTTTTTATTTGAAATTTTTGAAATAGGATATACAATTTTACCGTGAAGCTTCTGATGTTCAATTCGACGAAACTGGTAATCGAAAAAGAAAGTTTCGATATGGTGATGAAGATGAACTTGGAGCGGAACAAGAAGAACGTCGTAGGAGAATTTTGTTAAATAAAGAATTTAAAGCATTCGCCGAAAAAATATCAGAATCAGTATGTACCAACTTGTAAATTTTTTACTTTATTTTGATATCGAATTAAAATAATAATAATAATAATAATTATTATTATTATTATTATAAAATTAATTTTCATTTGCAGAGTGAAGGTTCTCTTGATGTTGACATTCCTTTCCGAGATATTGGTTTTCAAGGAGTACCTTTCCGGACAAACGTACTACTGCAACCTACCACAGAATGTTTCGTACATTTAACAGACCCTCCATTCTTAGTAGTAACTATTACTGATATAGAGATTGCTCATTTAGAGCGAGTTCAGGTTGCTTATTCTTGCTTAAGCTTTTTTTTTCTTTCGATTTAATTTATTATTTATTATAGTGTTAATCAACTTTTTCTTTTCTTTCGATAGTTTGGATTGAAAAATTTTGATCTCGTGTTTATTTTTAAAGATTATTCTCGCCCGCCACTTCATATTAATACTATTCCAATGAATCAACTAGAGAATGTCAAAGATTGGCTAGAGTAATATTATTAATATATGAATTATCGATTATCATCATATTTTAATTAATTATTAATATTTTTTTGGTAATATTTTTTGTCATTAGTTCTGTAGATGTAACCTTTTATGAAGGTACTCAAAATTTAAATTGGACTCAAATCATGAAGACGATTAATCAAGACCCAGCAGACTTTTATTCGCAAGGAGGATGGTCATTCTTAAAATTACATAGTGAGGTAATATAAAAACAAATTTCAAATTTTATTTTTTTTTTTTATATTTATTATATTATTAAATTTAAAATTTATTTAATCTTAGAACGATGATTCAGATGACGCTTCTGATTCCGCAAGTGAATATCAACAAAGTGAAGATGAATATGAAGAGAGTTCGGTAAGTTTTTAATAGTTTTTCGGAAAATTTTAAAGAAATTATTATTAATTAATATATAATAAATATATATTGCGTAATAAGAGCAATGAAAGTAGTTATGATGATGAAGCATCGGATGTTGCTGTTGTTCAGGGTTCCGAAACAGAAGAAAGTGATGACTCGGCACCAGATTGGGATGAACTAGAAGAAAAAGCACGTAGAGGTATATTATTTTATATTATTTTATATTATTTTATATTATTTTATATTATTTTATATTATTTTATATTGATAATATACTAATTATTAAAAACTTTTATTAAGCCGATGAAAGAAAACATGGAACTAAACGTGCAAACGATTCGGAGGAAGAACTTGAGAATAGCAAGAGAGTTCGTCGTTAATTGTTAACATCCAATTCGTAATGTTTAATTTTGCATCATCAAATCATAATAATAATAACAAAAACTATAATATATATATATATAAATATAATGGAAAGGGAAACAATTGTAAAAAAAAAAATTAATAACAATGTATCAATTTTGCTATCACATGATCTAAGATTATAAAAATTATAAAGAATAAACTTTAATAGTGTTTAGAATAATTTTATCGCATTTGTAAGATATAAATATATCTTTTTTAAAAAAATAAAATAAAAAAAAAAATTCAATATAAGAAATATAAAAGATGAAACTTTAAAGATCTGAAAAGTGTGAAACATTTAAAAATGCCAATAACAATCTCAACGTAATAAATTCAACTCTATATAATGAATTTATTATCATAAATTTCTCATATGTATTAATTTTTTTTAATTTATTAATTTACATAAAAAAATTTGATTTTAAAAAATCATTTTAATAAAATATTACTTTATTTCTCGCTTTTTTTTTCTTTAATTAATTAATGATAAATATATTTCTTTAAGCCTCAACATCATCTTTCTTAAAGACGTACGTAAGTCCACACTAAATATTACACAAAAGATATTGTAATAATTTATTATTATTTTTATTATTTTTATTATTAATAATTTGAAATTAAAAGAAATTTTGATATCACCTTTCCACAATATTGACGGTCATAATGATATGACATGAAAATACCAGCACCACAAGAAGCGTTGGGACATTCTCTGAAAGAAAAGGAATTAAATTAATAACAATCACATAGAAAATAAATAAAAAAATATATTTAAACATATCTTTCTTTTATTACACTAACCTACGAAGCCGCGTAATTTTACCATTCTCGTCAACTTTGTAATACTTGAGAACTGCCAATTTTACCTTCTTTCTCTTATGCTTAATTTTCTTGGGTGTTGTATAAGTCTTCTTCTTACGTTTCTTTGCTCCACCTGGTAAACTCGCTACCAAATGCAAAGTGGAATCTTTTTTAATATCATAATCATCAATTTTATATTTATCTTCGAGCTAAATTTCATTAAAAAAAAAAAAAGAATTTAATTCTAATTAGAATTAATACTATTAATACTAAAATATTAAAAAAAAAAAAAAAAATTTTCTGACCTGCTTTCCATTAAAAATCAATCGTTGAAAATTAACCGGAAGTCCTATTAATGGATAGAGAATTAATATACTATCACAATTAATCAATTAATTTTTCAATTTCATTTATTTCTCAACTATCAATTCGGAAAAAAATTTTTACCTTCTTTTTCTTCAATTTTAGTCTTGACATTTTTGATATTATCGATTTTCTCGACCTCAAGGGTAATGGTTTTATCTTCTAGTACTTTTACAAAAATCCACATACTGACAAAAATTTGATGAACTAAAACTAAAATCTCGAAATTTTTGAATCTCTATGATCGGCTAAAAATTTTAAATTCATGGATCGGTGAATCAGGTTACACAATTTATTGTTTTTTTTTCTCTGGATATACTGTAACTCTAGTAAAAAAAAATGAAAATCAAAGAGACTAGAAAGATCTGTAAACCTGAATATAAAAGTTAATACTAGAGATAAGTGTGTAGCCATTCATCTAAAGTATTTTATAATCCAGTGAACTAATTAAAGCAATAAAAAAAAATTGATCTTTTCCCTAGTGAACAATTGAAAACATATTTAACTCAAAAATAAGTTCACACTTATTTTATAAATGAATTAAAAACAATCAGCAAACAAATGATCAAAAATCAAAAAAATTTTTGGTGCAAATTTGGTTTAGCTTATTTACATTTATTCATATTATCCACCTATCCATTTGCATATCATCAGAAATCTTCCTACCTATTTGTATATAATTCACAAATTTCTTTATCTATTTGTATCAAAATTTGCTTTTTATTCAAACTAGTTTATACAGTGTTAATAAATTTCAAGGTTATTTGATATATGAAATTTATAGTAAAATCATCATGAGTGGAAATAACATAATTATGTTATTTCCACTTAGTGTAGGTTATTCCCTATCAGAATGACGTGTTGATTGCAAAATTCAAGTCATTCGAGTGACGGGTTAATTATAAAATTCAAGTCATTTGAGTGATGGGTCAATTACAAAATTCAAGTCATTCAAACTATCATATATCAGGCCAGTGGTCTAGCTGATTTCTGTTGTCAAATTGCATATGACATAATGTGTATTAATTTGGCAACTGCGGTTGATTTTAAAACTAAGGAGCTCCCCGATTTAGGTTATGAAGTTGCACGTGCGACTACTCTATATGATGTTTTAAAGCTTCTAGATTTTTAAATTCGTTATCAAAAATTGTATAATATATGGTGACTATATTTGATTTTGAATGTAAGGAGCTTCCCGAGGTAGGTTATGCTAGGAAAGAGTCAACTGTAGGTTGTTTCTTATCAGATATGTGGTCTGATGACAAAAGTTAGCCACATGGGTAAAAAATATATCTGACAATACATTCAGTCACGTGTCATCATTCGAGTGGGCAAATAGCCAGAGCATATGTTTTCAGGCATGTTATCAGATACATGTTGTCAAGTATATTGTGAAAAATGCTATCAGGTTGTTATCAAGAAATACATTATCGGGTATATGATACATTATATATCAGTTTCAAGACAAAAAAATAGATCGTATTACTATATACCATATATGTATTATATTTTGAATATCTAAAGATTTGTATTTTAATATAATAAAAAATGACACGTGAATGTACTTGTCTATTAGGTCATGATCCCAATGAAATTTGTGAAAACACTTGGATAATACCTGAGGAATGTAATCATCGGAAAGTCAAAAGAATAGTACCGTGTATTAAATGTGGTAAACCATCCATTTCAACCTCTGGTCATTGTCCATCACATATTAGAGAATACTATGATAAACTTCTATCAAATGCACGAGAAAGAAGTATGAGAAAATAATAGATACCTACTCTGGCATATATCTGAAAACATATGTCGAGATAGTGTATTCTTCCATTTTTTATATATAATATTTCTGAAGATTATTGCTAAGCAATGACCCTTTGGGTCTACACCATCCAGACATATCCAAAAATATATCATGGAAAGTGAAGTGTTCTTCCATATTTATTATATAATATTACTGAAGATTACTTCACCTTGATCTATCCGAAAACATACCACTGAAATAGATATATTACTGAAGTTACCTATCCTGATTACATATCTAAAAATATATCCGAGAACATGTCATAAAAAAGTGATGTGTTCTTCCATTTTTTATATATAATATTATCCAACCACATACTGAAAACATGTCATCAAAAAGTGAAGTGTTCTTCCATATTTATTATATAATATTACTGAAGATTACTTCACCTTGACCTACCTGAAAACATATCATTGAATAGGTAGTTTCTGCAATTTTCTTTATGTGTCAGAGACACTGGCTCCACTATATATTATTAACGCATTTACCTACCATAGTCATATACCCGCAAACATATCTGAAAACATGTCATCAAAAATTGAAGTGTTCTTCCATTTTATATATAATATATTACTGAAGATTACTTCATCGACCCATAGAATTACTTGATTATTGAACACACGGTCCTTCACATTTATTTCACTAAAACTTGATACATTTTTTTTGATAATATTTACTATTCACTGAAAAATTAATTTAAACTTTTCCAAATTATATTGCAATGATATAATCGAACAAAGATTGATACACCAATAAAAAAAATGAAAACACACAGCGCACAAGTGATCCGGTACTGGGGCAAGGAAAGAAATGACTATTTAAGTGACTCCGATAAATATAGTGATAATATATCTGAATGTGAATTGGAAAATTGTAGCAACTATGGCTCCGACTATGAGTCAGATACCGAAACAAGTACTATCAAGTTCCCAGTATCCCACCCCCCTAAAGTAAAAGAACAAATGTCTAATTCGACAATTTCCACAGACCAAGTGAGCTCCACATATTCTAGAAGGCAAGAAAAATTCGATAATAAATTTACTCAGATGGATCTATTAAATAGAATCCGTGAAATTGCTTCCTCACCTGCTAGAGATATGTCAAACAATAAAGGTTCATTAGAGAATATACATTTATGGGACTATCTCTTACTTAATAAGAAGGTAAAAGAAGGAATCAGTCTACTCGATGTATATATACGAGAAGAATTAACTGATAAATTAGTTATTCAGATGGAGCAAGGTGAATATAGAAAGTTTTCAGTTGTAGATGATATCTCAGAAGTGTATAGTTTATACATGTTTCCAAAATTGATTTTGGATTTTTGAAGTATTTCGACTTTTTGAAATTTATGCAAAATCTATTCTATATATGGAAGTAAAAAAAGTACCTAGTTATATGTATCTTTAATCAAAAAATAAATCTGAGTGGTCAAAAAATTTCGGATTTTAAGTAAAATAATTTTGTCTTCTATGAAAAACTATTTTGACTTTTTTCTCTGAAATTATAATTTCAGGGTCCCAAAATAATTTTGCGTGCAAGTATAGTATGGTTTATCTGGAATACACGAAAGCATTGACGGGAAACTACCACTAAGGGCTGAAATTGATATCGATACATCACGAGAATATATAGAATCTGAAAAAGTCAATGCAAGGGATATATTTATTCGTATTTGTTGTTCGTACATAAGGGTATTATATATGATTCTTGATTGTAGCTGGGAAGAGATTTTTGAAGAATTAATAATTGCTACATCTTCCAATTCCAGCAAATGCAGTTATCATCTCCTGTACGCACCAGCTCTCCTTATTGATTATCAGGAACTCAAGCAATTTACGGAACTGGTATATAAACTAATGGGAGAAAAATATGGTAAGTTTATTGATAGGTTACCTGGTCGAAACTTTTGCCTCCGCTTAATTGGTTCTGCAAAAAAAGATCGCGTAAAGTGCATACTCAAATTTTCACTAGATAATAAATAGGATGAACTCGATCACGCAAGAGTACAACTACCTGCTAGTGCAAAATGCGAAGTAAGACCTCGCATACTTAGTGTAGAGAAAATAAATCAGAAAAAAATAATCGTGGGTCAAGATGCACTAAAAAATTATGCAAATCTAGTTTTGCGAAAGTATTCAGATTATCTTGGGAGTTGGGATATTGAGGAAAAAGATTCTCAATGATATGTATACTTTAATCAGAAGACGTATCTAGAATATCCAATTTGTAAACGTACACACAATATACATGTTGCCCAAATTCCAAATTACTAGTATTTGGAATTTGGGATTTGGGATTTCGGCAAAAAATACTAATCATAATTTGGGATTTGG